CTTTCCGCCCATAAAATGTCAGAATTTTGACCGAAACATTGAAATAATAACCCAAAAAAGAGTGTTATACCGTGTTATGTGATCGATGATCGAATTGCCAAGCGATTGGCATTCAAAAGCCGACCTGGGGTAAGGATCAACCAAATAACTACAATGTTTGCGAACAGAACTGTGACGTCTTGGATGGAAGATCGAAAATTGGCTGTGGAAAATGACGTTGGCTGCAAACTGGACTACTTGGACTTCGATCTGTCAGCACTGTAGGTCTTCCGATCGACGGATAGTCAGTCAGTGTCATCTCATCACCTTACCATCTCCATCTCCCTTGTTTTCTTCCGGCAGCTCCATTGTCTTGCGGCTCGCCGGATGCCCAGCAAAATACCACTGTCATGGGCAAAAAGTTCACTCTGGGCGAGAAGATCCAATACACGTGTCCCAAGGGCCAGTTCTAGCTGAAAACATACCTATTACCATAAATCGGTCAGACCGGAACGTTGGAGTGGCGAGTTGATGGCACTTGTGAACGTGCTTTTCGCCGACCTGCAAATGTAAGCGATTTAATGCAATACCATCTCCCAATCGTTTTTGTTTAAAACATAAAGCCTAAATTATAGGCACAAGCTATAAGCTAGGTTATAAGCTAGGTTAAATGATGTAACTCTAATCCAAATTTTTCACCCTAAAATGTCAGTATTTTGACCGAAACATTGGAAATAATGATCCAAAAACAGAGTGTTATACCTTCCTGTGCTCGTAATTGAATTGCCAAACGATTGGCATTCAAACCTGAAACTTTTAAATTTTGTCAATTTTTTGCAAAAAATTATGATGTAACCCCTTATCAAAAATGCGAAAATTGGTGAAAAATGTATTTTTCCCAAAAGTGATGGGAATTGATAGCTTACATTGTAAGCTGTTTAAAACAGTCGGCCGTTTAACTGTAGGCCTTGATTTATCCAAATTACGACTAAAAAACCGCAAAAAAATCGGTTATTTTGTCTCAAATCGTAGTCCACATTTTTCACCCTCAAATATCAGTATTTTGGCTGAAACATTGGAAATAATGATCCAAAAACAGAGTGTTATACCTTCCTGTGCTCGTATTTGAATTGTTAAACGATTGGCATTCAAACCTGAAACTTTTAAATTTTGTCATTTTTTTGCAAAAAATTATGATGTAACCCCTTATCAAAAATGCGAAAATTGGTGAAAAATTTATTTTTCCCAAAAGTGATGGGAATTGATAGCTTACATTGTAAGCTGTTTAAAACAGTCGGCCGTTTAACACCCGGCCTTTATTTGCCCAAATTACGACAGTTATTTGCAAAATTAATTAAATTTACAATGGGCCACGTCATCGATATCGTCAATATAAAAATATTCTCTCGGTGGGAACTTATAATTCCCAACTAGTTCTAGCTTAAAATTTATGACCTAGCAGCTATGGTCGCCGATAAATCAGTTGACCGGAAGTTGGTGTGGGTGTTGGTGGTTGTGAAGTGATTTTAGGAGATTCATAAATTGGCAAGTGCTTCGAGATACTTTCCAGATAAGTCCTTTAATAAGGTATTTATTTATTGAATAAAATATGTTCTTGTAAAAAATGATCTCAGTTTAGATATAAATATTTTGTATTGCTTAGGATATTTTAAACGCCTCATTTAATGGCAATATTCTTACTGCTGATTTTCATCAACTTCATTTATCTTTTCCGCAGATGTGGACTGCGGCAGTCTACCAGAGCTAAAGTTTGGGTCCATCCACATGTCCGAGGAGCGGTCGAGCTTCGGCGTGGTGGCCACATACAGTTGCCACGAGAACTACACGCTCATCGGGAACGAGAACCGGACATGTGCCGTCGAGGGATGGAGTGGGAAGCAGCCGGAGTGCCTAGTGGACTGGTGTCCGGATCCCCAGCCGATTACCGGAGGGAATGTGCGGTTCAGTGACAAAAGGGCCGGATCCACGGCCACATATGTTTGCGAAACGGGATATGTGCTGGTTGGCGAGGCGGTAAGTGGCTTCTAGGATTCTGGAATGCAATCTCTAATGATAAAACCGAACCTTTCCAGATCATCTCGTGCGGACTGGGCGGTGAGTGGTCGAGCAAGACGCCGTCGTGCAGATTCGTCGATTGTGGAGCTCCGGCTCGACCAAATCGAGGCATCGCTATCCTGCTGAACGGAACGACCACCGTGAATTCGGTGGTCAAGTACGAGTGCGACGAGGATCACTGGCTGGACGGGCAGACGGAGCTCTATTGCACCCGGGATGGCAAGTGGTCGGGCGAGGCGCCGGTCTGCGAACTGGTCACCTGCGAAACGCCACCAGTCCCATCCGGTTCCTTCGTGATCGGCTACGACTACAATGTCCACTCGAAGATCCAGTACAACTGCGATCCCGGACACATAATGCACGGAACTCCGGTCCTCGAGTGCCTGGACAGTGGGGAATGGAGTGCCGATGCACCCTATTGCGAATGTGAGTTCTTAAGTTTAACCATTATATTCTGTTTAAAAAAGGGAATATGCATACATAAGTAGCATACCATAACTTACTTTAAAATCACTTGAGAGTCTCATGAATGTGAAGAGTACGGCGATAGTGTATGGTTTTCCACCAACAATCCCCGCTTGAGACGTGTAAATTGATAACTTTCTTATTTTTCACCAACAGACATCGATTGTGGCCAGATCCTGCCCATTCCCTATGGCAGCCACAAGTACGTCACGAATAGCACCTATGTGGGATCGGAGGTGGTTTTCAGCTGTTCCCAGTCCCACAAACTGAGTGGTGTCCTTAAGCGTCAGTGCCTGGAATCGGCGGTTTGGAGCGATACGTCGCCCAAGTGCGAAGGTATCACCTCGTATATTTCCACTGTTAACAGTATGTCATCTAACCCAATGTAATCTTCCACAGAGATTCGCTGTCCCGAACCGAAGCTGGCTGCCCACAGTCTGCTCTCCGTCACTGGGAACGATCGCATGTACGGACGCACCCTTATCCGCACCTCCGAATCCTCACAGAACGCTGCTCAGACCTACAAGTAAATGGAGTCCCCTTCTCGCTTTATATGTATGTGATATTTATTTTTTCGTGGTGCTACCCTTTTTAGAATTGGCGCTCTGGCAAAGTACCGATGCGAACGGGGTTACAAGATGGTGGGAGAGGCTCTGGCCACCTGCACTGATAGTGGGCAGTGGAGCGGTTCCATACCGGAATGCGTCTGTGAGTAAATGAGTATCATTTCTTAAACAAATTTATTATCGCTTTGTTTATCCTCTTCAGATGTGGAGTGCGGGGCCCCGGAGAGCATCGGCAACGGCAAGGCAGTCCTGGCCACGAACGCCACCTACTATGGAGCCGCCGTTCTCTACGAGTGCAATGTGAACTTCAAGCTGAATGGGGTATCCCGCCGCCTGTGCACGGAGCACGGCAACTGGAGCCACGAGGCCCCCGAGTGCGTGGAGGTGGTCTGCGATGCGCCCAACATCAGTGAGAACCTAATCGTCGAGGCCGGTCCCCGGGCCGTGGGCTCTGTGGCCACCTTCAAGTGCTCCAAGGGCAGGATCATGATGGGCAATGACACACGCGTCTGCCAGAAGAACGGCAAATGGGCCGGTAAAAGCCCCACCTGCAGGCGTAAGTCCTAAAGTCCTAAGATATCAGAGCTTAGACTCATTTTCTAGTACTTGAAAGATCATTTTTAATTTATTTTACATCCCTAACTAATTCCACTGCTTGTTTCCCTCAGCTGTCGACTGCGGACGCCCCCTGGCCATTGAGAACGGACGAGTGATCGTGGTCAACGACTCGACCTTGTACGGCGGGTCCGCCGAGTACCACTGCATCCCCAACTACAACCGGATCGGGCAGTATCTGCGCAAGTGCACCGAGGACGGGGCCTGGAGCGGAAAGCAGCCCCGCTGCGAACTGTCCACCGCCGAGGGCCACGAGACCTCCGAGCTGGGGACGGGCGTGGGCATCGGAGCCACTGTGATCGTCGCCCTGCTGGTCATCTTCGGCCTGATCTTCCTGTATCGCAACAAGGCGAGGCCCGTGAAGAACACGGAGAACGTCCAGGCGGCGGAGACGAAGGACGAGCGAAACGCCGCCGTGATGTCGTATTCCACGCTGGAGGCGAACAACCGTATGCACATGGACAACAATCCATCGGCGACGTTCAACACGTTTCAGGGCGGAGCCGGCGGACGAAACGCTTCCGGCGGCAATCCTCCAGATGCAACCAGCAACGGGGAAAGACTGAACAACAATCGGTCGGGTAAGTGAAAGATCTATTTTCTTTACAACTGTCTCCTAATTTAATATCTTTAACTTACTTTACTTTAACTATACTGTGCAGAAAACATTTACGATCAAATACCAAACGAGCAGTTCTACGATGCTCCCTACGAGATGCGAACCAATGACGAGGTCTACGAACCGGAACCGGTGGCCAGTAATGTCATCACCATCAACGGCATTTCCGTCAGATAGATAGATACGGATATTGGGATATTTTTCTTACCAAAATCCAAAGGAGGCACCGGATAGCAGCATTAATTACCGAACGTTTAACGTTCAGTTTTGTGTTAATAACTGTACATATTAATTGTTTAAGGGAGGTTTTGAGTTACTCGTAGTTCGCCTAAATCTAAACTTTGGTCACCCCAAGCACTTGTACTGTAGTTGCCCCGTCGTATAAATTAGGTCTATCCATATATACCGCATAATCTAACTTTATACTTACATATACCATATCTAAATGGATGTGCCTACTCTGCAGCCCATGTACTGAAATCGATTTGTCGAGTAGGAATTTGAATTGGAATTTTTGGACCAAGAGCTCTATATTCTGTATTCTCTATATTCATACTCGTATTTGTTTGTGTTGTTTAAATTATTTTAACTATGTAGTGAGGAATGAACAATTTTTGTTATGCAATGTGTAAGAACTCGCCAATGTGTGTTTGTAAAAAGCGTTAATTTTACGAACAATTAAACGATTGTGGTTAACTAATTTATTACGATTGATGGAAATCTATACCTGTATTCAATGCAAAAAAAAGGAGGAAAAACTAGTAACTGGGTAAGTGGATGTAGTGAAAAGGGGAGAGGGTGGGGTATTGTTTAATCAATAGTTCATAGAACACTTAGTTTCTGTTTGGCATCCAAAAAAAACTAATATCAGACTTACAAAATTTAGAAGAAAAAATCCCAAAAATTGTTTAGAAATTGGCTTCAAAATTTTGGTTAGATGGCGAAGAAGGCGGCTCAACAACAGCTGCAGGCGGACATCCAGACGGATGAGGACTTGGAGCGCTTCATGGAACGGCCGGGACTTTTGGGTTCGTCGCGATATTGCTGGAGTCATTATAATCAGTTATATACGCCCTGTACTTACCAGTTCTGGATGTTTACTCCGAGTGGTGCGGTCCTTGTCTAGGAATGGTGGGCAGCCTGCGCAAAGTCAAACTCGAGATCGGTGGCGACAACTTGCATCTGGCAATTGTGGGTTAATTCGTCTCTATCCATTTGATATAATCCTTCCTAAGCTACTGACTTCCCAACTGCCTTCACATAGTGCAAATCGGACACCATCACATCCCTCAAACGATTCAACAAAAGGAGCGAGCCCATCTGGCTCTTTGTGACCGTAAGTCAAAGTACATAAGCCTCATTAATAAACAATGCCTAGAACTAACATTGTTACTAATATTTTCTACCTTGATTTAACAATTTCCATTCATTAAAATAAGCTTTAAGCTAACAGTATATAAGTATATAATTTAACTACTTACCATTCTATTGTTTAATATTATATCTAAATATAATAATAAATATTTTGTACCTTCAGGGCGGCAAGGCTGTGAACCTTATGTTTGGCTCGGATGTGCCCAAGTTGGTGGGCCTGCTGACCAGGGAGCTGGAGAAGGTTCTCCAGCGGCAGGCGCGCCAAGTCACCTACCGAATGGACGAGCTGCAGCCGATCGAGGTGGAGCAGCAGCGCATCAAAATGGAGGCCATTGAGCGGGCCGAGCGGATTGAGCGCGAGATTAAGCACAAGAAGCAGGTGGACTACCTCACCCAGGTGACCGACTCCATAATGGAGAACATGCCGGATATCGGAGTGACTGTCTTTGGGCCCCAAGTCAATCGCGACATGTTCAAGAAGCTCACGGAGCCCGCGGAACCGCTGAAGATGCAGTGCAAGGATCGCCGGGTCATCCAGGTGAGCAGCGACCAGTTCGAGGTGGTGAACTTCAGCTGCAAGAACCCCATGCCGCCGGATGTGATCGAGCAGCTGGACGGGAAGGAGCTGCTGATGTGCTTCTGGAAGATCGACGAGAGCATCGGAACTGTGCCCAATGTGCTGATGGCCTATGCCAACGAGCTGACCAAGGAACGGGTGGCGCCCCCCAACGAGGACATACCCGAGGAGCATGTCATTCCGCCGATAATCGCCACCATGAAGATGAAGATCGAGGTCGAGCTGAAGGAGGGCGAGGTGTGGGTGGAGGAGGTCAGCTCCGAGGAGGAGGCGAGACTGCTCAATCAGGCGAAGGGCAAGGGCAAGTCCAAGTCGGTTGTCCACGAGGATGCTGGCCACGTGGCCGAGGAGGAGGCACCCGACCTGGATGCCGAGGAGGAGGTCAGCGAGGAGGAGTCCCCCGGCGGCGGCGCTGAGCCCGGTGGCGATGTGATGGGCGGGTTCCCGTCCATGCCGGGCTTCGATATGGAACTCGATGCCGGCGATGAGGTGGCCGAGGACGAGGAGGAGGTCCAGGAGGTCAAGGAGGAGGAACCGCCCAAGCCGCTGACCCGCACCAAGACGGTGAAAATGCCACCCATTTGGGTGGCGAACAACCGGCGCACCCACGCCGCCCTCATTTACGTCTTCTTCCGCGGCCAAACCTCCGGCTTCCTGCCGCCGGATCCCAAGCCGGAGCCACCCCACGTCATCATGGCCTTCGACGCCTCCAAGCGCAAGGAGATCATGCACGTGGTTGATCGCCACAAGGACGATGTGCCGCTCTATGGCTACTTCTCCAGCGCCGAACCGGATGAGGCCGAGTTGATTGCAAATTCGACGGACAAATACGAGGGCAGCCCCAAATCGGCGTGCGTATTCTAGCCGGAATTAGCCCCCGACTGTACTAACCCGTTGCGCACTAATCGATCTATATTATTTTTTCCTTTAGGAGCGACAAAATCGTGCTCAAGGTCAACAAAGTACAGTCCAACATGATGCTATCGCTGGTTTCCTACGGACCCAGCTATGTGAGTCCCAATGTGACAGTCGGCAAGGACGAGGCCCTCAAGTTCTTCCCGGAGGACTATAAGCCCCAAGAGGAGGTCGTCGTGGAGCCCGAAAAGAAGAAGAAACGCGTAAGTGTAAAGCTGCCGAATACGAGGTGCCTCTTCTTCGCCTTAGACAATTGCTAAAGAACTCGCGTTTTGATTTTTTTTATAATTTCGAATTCGTTTTTTGGTTATGATGTTCCTTATGTTCTTCGAAAGCTACTCAATAATTTAATTTCTTTTGCAGAGCAAGAAGAGCCAAGATATCAGGGAGTCCGTGGAAACGGAGCCTGCGACGGCAGCAGCTCCTCCTGCCGAGGCTCCCCCTGCAGCCGAAGGAGGCGAAGCTGCCACCGCAGAGGGAGAAGCTCCATTGGCGGCGGTGGAGGGAGAAGCTGGTCCACCAGCCGGCGATGGCGAGGCGGTGGCCGCCGTGGAACCCACCTTTGAAGGCGGAGCCGCTGAGGCCCCAGCTCCGGAGGCTCCTGCGCCGGAAGCCGCACCCGAGGCGCCCAAGGAGGAGGCTCCGCCCGCCGAGGTAACAGAACCAGAGGCTCCCGAAGTTCCTGCGCCTGCCGCCGCTGATCCGGCGCCCGAACCACCTGCCGAGTAGAGCTAACCATACGTTTAATGCGTTTTTCAGTTACTAAATTTTCAGCCTTAATACTTAATTGTCAAAATTGTGAAATGCAATTTGTTGGATATCATTTAATATGGAAATATTTGTGGTTCAAAATTACATTACCCAATAATACCTGTTTGCGGTTAGAATTTAGGTTTGGAATCTTTCTTTCTCTATTTAATGGCGGTTAATATAAATCCATAACACAGGTCAAAGATTAAGATTTTCGAACCCGAATGTGCCCCAAAAGTTATACCATATATGTTTTGCCTTCCTTATTTGCTTTATATTTTCCGTTTTATAGAGGTTGCGTTGGTCCTAACTGATTTTAAATTACCTCTGGCTACCTGATTTATTCTAAAGGACTTCGGGGATTAGCGGATTGTGGTATCTACCTGACCATCTGTGGGTTAGTCTTGGATGATATATATGTGCGATATAAAGGAGTGCCGCAATAATGCGTAATGTGTCATTAGGCCGCGAGTTCTTGACCAGAATGCAGCTGCTCCTGTCCAACTCCCTTTGCCTGCTGCTGCTGATCCTGAGCCTGAACCTGGCTCCTCGGCCATCGCTGGCCAACGATGATGGGTGCAACGAGGTGGTCTGCGGATCGGTGGTCTCCAAGTGCCTGATCACCCAAAGCTGCCAGTGCAAGTTGAACGACAGCCATTGCTTCAAGGACTGCCTGAATTGCTTGGGCGAGCTGTTTGTCGAGTGTTGTGGCTGCTTGGACATGTGTCCCAAGCACAAGGATGTCCTGCCCTCGCTGACGCCGCGCTCGGAGATTGGGGATATTGAGGGACTGCCGGAGTTATTTGACACCTTGACAGCCGAGGATGACGAGGGATGGTCGACTATACGGTTTCCCATGCGAGCTGGCTTCAAGCAGCGGGTTCAGGGAGGAGGCTCCAGCTCCTCTGACACCGGAAACGGAAGCGGAAATGGTGGCTCCGTCCAGTGCACCGTGATATATGTGAACTCGTGCATCCGGTCGAACAAGTGCCGGCAGCAGTGCGAGAGCATGGGCGCGAGCAGCTATCGGTGGTTCCACGACGGATGCTGCGAGTGCGTGGGCGGCGACTGCCTGAACTATGGGATCAATGAGAGTCGCTGCCGCGGCTGTCCGGATGATCAGGACCAGGAGGCCGAGCAGGATCTGGAGCGCTTCTTTGGCAGCGAGGAGCTCGACGAGGACGGTTGGAGCTACGGCGAGGATGATGAGTTCTCCTAACCCCTCTTAACAAATTAAATGTTCACCCATTTGCTAAATACACTTGTAAAATAACCAATGGCTTGGTAGTTTTTAGTTTATTTGATAATAAAATAAATAAAGTTGAGAAGTATTTTTAATGTTTAAATTTATCTTACGCTTTTTATGTTCTTGGTTAGTTAATTTAATAATTAATTAGTTAATTTTAAAATTTCAAATCTCACCAGTGTTGCCAGATCGAAAAGCATTGATCGCGATTGTTGGTATGTTAATCGATGTTAATCGATACCAGGTGGACAAACTTCCATCGCAATCGATATTGCGGTAGTGTTTATTATTGTTTCAAATTCGACAAAATTACCATAATTATTACTTATTCGATTTGTTTGTTTCGTTTTGCATAGCTGAATTGCAGTAGTGACACCTTCAGATCGAGATCCAGCTCCTGATCAGACCAGAAACACCCCGTCGCATCCCGTCCCGACATTGAGATGCGGCTGCCCCTGACGGCGCTCTGCATCTGCATTCTGATCCTCTGCATCGAGCTCGTGTCCAAGGCGGTCGCCCAGGGGATGCCCGTCAGTCCGTGTCCCAAGATATTCCAGTACCGCTTCGACGGCAGCGAGTGGTTCGGCCTGATGGCCGTGCGCAGTCCGGATGGCCACCAGCCGCTCCACATCCGGGTGACGCTCTCCATGCGGGGCAAGCCCACAACGGTGGGTGAGCTGGGACTCGGATGATCCAACCCTTAACCCACTATCCTTCTTGATCCCTTCTGCAGAACTACCTTGGTGAAATCGAGCTACTGACCCGCGGAAAGTTCGCCCACAACGCGCCGGTGCTCTACAAGATCCGTTTCCCCAAGCACCACTTCCCACCCAAACTGCTCCTCCTGTCGGCCAACAACCATGTGATCTGCTTTGGATCCGGCGGTAAGATACATACACATATGCACCTGGAGCTAACCTACTTAACCCACTACTTAATCCCGCTCAGAGCACAGCATCTTCATGACCCAAATCCAGTTGGAGCACATCAGGAAATTGGCCTTTATTCCGGATAAGATCAGCTCCCTACTGTTGGATCCTCACGAGCAGGGGGAGGGGGAGGAGGCAGACACGAAGGCGGAAGAGGAGGCGAAGAAGACGCACATCCAGTTCAAGAAGTATGCATCCGGATCTTGGTCGGTTCAGTGAATGCTACCGATCCATTCGTTACTCAATGCCCGATCTTGTAGAAAACCCTTTGTTCAGGCGCTTAAGGATATTTGCGGACGCATCGACAGGGATCTCGACTTTCGGCTGTCCCAAAAAAGGGATCAGGAAGGGGAACAGGAACAGGAATCGGAACCTATCCTTGGCTCAGAAGCCATAACATCGCCGGTGTTTGTTGAAGACAACGACGGAGAGGATGCTCATGGCTTGGAGCACTTTGTAGACGAAACGGAAGAGGAAGAAAACGAATCGCTGGATGATAGTGCGAGCCTGCCGTCGATCACCAGGGGATCCTGGCCCTGGCTGGCGGCCATCTATGTGAACAACCTGACCTCCTTGGACTTCCAGTGCGGCGGAACCCTCGTCTCGGGGCGCGTGGTCATCAGCTCGGCGCACTGCTTCAAGTTGTTCAACAAGCGCTTCACATCCAACGAGGTCCTCGTCTTCTTGGGCCGGCATAATCTCAAGAACTGGAACGAGGAGGGCTCATTGGCGGCCCCCGTGGACGGCATTTACATCCATCCCGACTTCAACAGTCAGCTGAGCAGCTACGATGCGGATATCGCCGTGATCATGCTCAAGGACGAAGTTCGGTGAGTCTGGATTCGAGTAAATCATTTATGAAAAATAAGTAAAGCTGTGGTAGCAATGCTAGTATATTACGGGTCTCATCATTAAATTCGATAACTGACTGTGGATTTCTTTCTGCGCAGATTCAACACCTTCATTCGCCCCGCTTGCCTGTGGTCCGGTTCCAGCAAGGCGGAGTACATTGTAGGCGAGCAGGGCATCGTCATTGGCTGGAGCTTTGACAGAGCGAACAGGACGCAGGATCAGAAGCTGTCGCCGGTGGCTCTGGGGGGTAAGAAATCCAGCGATTCGCACAGTGCCCCCAAGGTGGTGAAGGCTCCGGTTGTCGGGAATGCCGAGTGCTTTCGGGCTAATGCCCACTTTCGCAGCCTCTCCTCCAACCGAACTTTTTGCGCCGGCATCCACACGGAGGAGCGGGATCGCCATCAGCAGATCAGTGCCAGCATTTACACAGGCATTTCGGGAGCCGGGCTTTTTATCCGGCGTAACAATCGCTGGATGCTGCGCGGCACAGTGTCAGCTGCCCTGCCCGCCGTTGAATCGCCAGAACCGGGTTACGTTTGCTGTAGAAGCCAGTACATTATATATGCTGACGTGGCCAAGTTCCTCGATTGGATCACGGCCTTCGTAATTTAAGTCACACCCGAAATGTGTATGGGATAACTATGGGGTTTCTAAATAAGCGCTGTGATAGCCACATGGGCATCTTTCAAGTACTCGAAATTCTGAGCCAATTTAATTTATTAGTTCCGCTAGTGGATATTTTGATACCGGCATATTAATTTCATTTCTATTTAATACAGTAAGGCAATTCGTAAAATAAATGATGGCTCGGTAAAGCCAAAAAGGAATTTCCATAAGGTATCTGTCTAGAGAAAGGGTTACACTTCTAAAAACTGTTTAGAGAAATCGAAGAATCGCCCCTAGCGCCAATTTAAAAGTACGAAAATTCAATTCAATTCAATAACCGATTTAAATCCCCCGTATATGCACATTTACAAAATCCACACAGGTATGTCTTATGTAAATGAATTATGAAATATGTTTACTTACTATAAATTTGCTATCAGTGCGAGGGCTCTCGTGAACAAAGGAAGCTGCCACTACATGGAGTGAGTGGGTGGTCACCTGGACACCTGGCCCACTAATTACCATCGGTAGCCTGCACTGCGCATATGCTGACTGCTATCAAGCACGTCATCAGCCGCAATCGTCGTCATCGCCATCTGGGCGGTTATCTATCTTGCTGGGTTTGCTGGGGCATCGACGACAGCCGCTTCCATCCACTATCAGTTTCGTTCGGACCGTGGCAGCTGGTGCATCTCACCCAGGGGCTCTGGGCCCGCGGCTTTCGTTTCCCGATATCCGACATTCGCAATCGCTGAAGATCTGCCCATTGAATTGTGCCCATATCCGGTCGGAAGTGAATACAGACACAGAAATGGCCATATCTGGAGAACATTTCGCGCATTGCAAAGTCCGTTTCACCGAATCCCAGAACCAGAATGCTGGGCGGAGTGGGAGCTCGTCGCAGAAGGGGCTCATCACCTATGGCGCGATTGACCATTAGCAACATCAACAGCCTGGATGACAACATTGCCATCATCGGCGATGGCGTCATCCGGCGGAGCACGCACTACGGCTCGCAAGGGTCCAACAAAAGGCGCCGGGCGCCGGAAAGTTTTGCTCTTGTCCAGACCCGACCCAACCTGGGCGACATAATGTGAGTACGCAAACCAAAACATTTCAAGTTATTATTTTCTTCAAAACAACTGATTGATCTTCTTAAAGATAATTTAATACGGGTAGAAACAAAAATATCTGAGAAATTTGCCTTGTTCGGCATTTGAATTATATTTAAAACAAGAGAACGAAGTCGGGTGCCCGACATCAGATACCTACCAGCTAAAGGGACTTTGATCCGCCGTAACTTTTAACGAATGGTCCGATTTAAAAAATTTCTTCTACATTTCGATAGGTATTCATAAACACAATAAAACTGCATTTTTACTTTTCCGAAATATTGAGATTTTTAAAATCCTATATAAGCGTTTGTGGGCGTTAGAGGGGGCGTGGCACCCTTTTAAAACAAACTTGCGCTGCGTAGGAACTCCTAGAATCTGCATGCAAAATGTCAATCCTCTAGCTTTTATAGTTTCCGAGATCTCAGCGTTCATACAGACAGACAGACGGACAGACGGACAGACGGACAGACAGACGGACAGACGGACAGACGGACATAGCTAGATCGACTCGGCTAGTGATCCTGATCAAGAATATATATAGTTTATAGGGTCGGAAATGCTTCCTTCTACCTGTTACATACTTTTGCACGAATCTAATATACCCTTTTACTCTACGAGTAACGGGTATAAAAATTATCCGATCCGGCTCTTTTAGCCTCATATATCATCTGCAGTAGAGAGAAGACGATGAGAAAACTTTGCGTAGAAACGACATGGCTAAACTCTCATTTTCGGAAACGGTTGACAAAAGCTAAATGTTACAAAAAGGATAATTATTTATGTTAATTTTTTGAGTGGATTTGTAAGGGGTAACTACAGTCTTACGCCCGTTTTCTCGTCCGTTTGTTAAATTTAAAGTAAGGTTAAAACAATGATTTCCCATACGATTTCAAGGTTTCAACCCTACTTCAAATTTAAGAAAAGGACGAGAAAAAACGGCCCTTAGAGTTCTTGTAGAAAATAGTGAAAGGTAGTTATGGAAAGATATATAAAGTGGGAAGTTAGAATCTTACTTAATATTGGAACAATATTGTGTGTATATGCCTAGCTATGTTATGCATGGTTTGTAGAATTAGCTAGTTAATAAATTTAGAATTATCCATCTTTGACCTCCAGAAAACCGGTTAAACAGCGACTCTCAAAATACCGATATCAAGGATATGCGTTGGTTAACTTCAAAGTAGAAACGAGGCTTAAAGCTTAATTATTGGATGTAGGGGTAGCAGAGCGGGTTTACTTATTAAAATAAACTAGAATTGTTTTAGAAAGGAAGAGTAGGTTGAAAAGTACCGAAATCGAAGGAGTGCGATAGCTTAAAGCTCAATCACTGGAAGTAACGGTAGCTCAGCGGGCTTCCTTAGGAGACGCGCATGCGCCTTTGCACTGGCTTTTGCTGGCCAGTGTGTCCACCCCGCAAAGTAGAGCTTAAACTGCAGCTTTCGGGCGGACGCAGAGCGCAGGGCTGGTGATTTTTTGTTTCTTCTTTTTTTATCCCTTATTGTGCGTGTGTGTGGGCCCTGGCGATGTGGTAGTATGTGATACAAAGTCGCCGAGTTGAAGTCTTGCGTTTTGTTGAGTTTTTCGTCCAACTGGTGAGACAAAGTCGGTGGTGACAGCTCCCGTGTCCAAGCGGTTTTTGTTTTTTATTTTTTCCCGACTTGCTTAATATTTAGCAATTATATGGCTCCCAGGAATCGGTTGAAAATACATGCCCCCATCGGCTGGTGTTAACAAATCAAGTGCAATCGCTCGCATTACGGCGTTATAAGTGCTGTGAAAATTCGAAAGTTGTGTGCGCTGGCATTCGAATTCGGGTCGAGTGGTGAAAATAAAACTACAAACATCCAAACCAAAAAAACACGGAAAAAAGACAAATAGTCTGAAAACGTGAAAACGTCGAAATGGCGACAGTGGCGACGAGGACAGCAAAAGAACACAAAAGAAAAGAAAAGAAACCAAGTAAAAAGCATTATTCGGGCGTACTGAAGCCAATAAACGACCTCTGGCACCCAGATCTAATTTTATTTTTGGGATATATATATCCAAAGTTCCAACTTTGGGCCCAATTCTGAATGCTACATACCTATCCTTAAAATCCAGTTGTACAAGTTTAAGTTAACAAGCTCCACAAACGCACCACACTCAAACACATATGCGCTGGTATATAAATATATACATATATATATATATATAGTCGTTGGGATTGGGTCAGCGGGTCGGTAGCACAACGGGCGGAATGTTGCGTCGGTGGTGCTATATATTGCGGTGGATGGAAGTGGATGTGGCAAGTGGGAACGGAGCAAGAAAAAAAAAAGTAAGAGGAAACGGATATATGTAGGAGTTTAGGGATTTCTTTAACAGAGCAGATATTGGTATATCGTAGATTTATATTTAGTGACGTGCTCACGCACTTTTGCGTTGAATGAAACACCAAATATTACTGCAGCCCCCATATTATCATTTATAAATATTTCTATTACCAGCCCTTCAAATATTTACGAACACACGCATTTTCCATACAGAGACCAAAGCCCCGGATACGAATTAGAATGATATATTCTTTCTCCACGGAAGAGAAAAATTTGTTTGCCCCTGTTCTTTGAACAATGGTCATTTGTAGAATAGAATGTGGGCATATGAGCAAACATTGTGTGTGTCCGTCTGTAACTTAAGAATTAGAGACCTCACAGTTCGGTTAGTAACTCCTATGGCCTATCCAAAAATGCGACATTTGCCGAAAAAAGGAAAGAAAGTTGGGGCAGCTTTAATAATAAATAGTTGTGTTAATGTGAGGGGAGCGGCGATGACTGTTTATTTTTGGCAATTACAGGTTCGTTGGTCCCACTGTCGCCCGATATATATATATATATATAGTTTCTGCCCGTTTCTCATTCTCGTTCAAAAACATCGTCAACATAAAAAGAAGGCAGACAATTGTGCCTGATGACGTCACTAAAAAAATTGAGATATGGTCATTCGTTACAAGGAAATATGTAGATTTGTAAAACTAGGAACAGGAAATGCGTTTGACCTTCAAAAACGCCATGTTTTGATTAATGTGAAAGTTAATGTAATGTAAATGTAACCAAAACTATTAAAATGTATACCTAATGACAAAAAATGTGTTAATTTGCCCTATAGTATAGTAGACACAGTTGACAACTTGAATTTTTAACACTTGTAAACTTGCACTTCCGTTTGTGTCTCTAAGGAGACCAGATCTCACAATTTTCTTCTTCTTCCTCCTTTTAAACTTAAATTTGAATTTTAGAGTGACCAGATTTGTTTCTAATTCAATTTGTGGAGAATGTATAATTTTTATATTAAATTAAATTTAAAAATGTTATCGTTATCGATGTGACCCAGTGATTGCTGAATTCAGAAAGAGAGAGAGAGAATGCTCCTGCTCCTGCCGGTACATGTGTGTGCGTGTGAGTGAGTGGAATGGAGAGTTGAAATTGCAAATGCCAATTCGTGTTATCAGATAAAGTCAGACAACTAATCAGAACACAACTGTAAACATAAAAATCCTTCAATTTTCCCTTCACGCCCTATATACACCCTGCTTTTATTCAAGAATATGAGGAAAGGTAAACAAGTTTTCGAATGGGGAAACTTGATTCCTTCCAGTTATGTCGGAATTGAGAATCTCACCGTTTCACAACTCACCACGGCCTGCATGCCTGTGTGTGTGTGTGTATTGAGCTTTTTCGGTGACTTATACATATACTCAGCCTCTGTCTTTTTCATCCCCTAATTTTTTCATTCATGGCGTGTTCCAGTAATGGAATTTTATACCAATAACCGAAATAACTACATCTATCTGTAACTGTAACTGTCGCCGTAACCATAACCATCGTCATACATCGAGTACAAATGTTGTGGACCTTTGTCACATTTCTATGGACCATACCTTATAGGGAATAAAAATAACACCAGCCTTGCATTTCGTATGCACCATATCCTCCCCATCCTCATCCCCATCACATGTATGTATAAGTTTGTGCGCGAGTGTATGAGCATGTTTTCAATAGGTCATGAACTGAATTGACCCGAGCGCATCATAATTATCGGTTGGCAAAATATGTAGCACAACACAGGCAATTGAAACTACGGCCGGAAACATATTACGGAATCTGACCAATTTAATATGCCCAAGTGTTATAGTACAAGTGTGTGCCAAAAAACCAACAAAATCTGTAGCCGGAAACCGTTTAAAATACATATGTCGTGAATTAAAAATGAACATTTATAATCAATATCAATGCAAGTGACGGATAACCAAATCAAGTGTATGGTGTCGGAGAGTAAATAAATTAGCGCCCAATTTATAAAGCCATCTAATCAAATTTGTTTTTCTATTCAGTTTAAGTGCTATAATAACACGGTAATGCTAAAGAGCTAACAAAGAAAATATAAAACGAATAAAATTCAGTTCAAAGAGCGATAAATAAGTCAAAAGGATACATACATACATAAACCAAAACATCAGTAAAAACAAAAAAAGCAAGAAAGTAACGATCGAGGGATACGAGGTTGAGGAAGCGAGATAAGGAATAATCGGATCCGGAATTCTCCATCATCCAGCGTCCGGCCTTCAACATCCAATCCTCCATCCTCCAGTAATCACTAGCAACAGATTATCGGACCCGCGAGCTAAATGTCCAGTTGCCGCTATCGTTCCATACGGACGGCGTGTCACTCCCGACAAATGCGTATTGTGGTTGACCTTGTTTAATATAATTATGGCCGAGCGGTCGTTACAAAAGTATCAGAAATTGGATACAGTGACGGTACGTGCCCCCATCCTATTATAAATATTATCAATTTTGATGGTAGCAGTCGGTAGATACCCCTATTTGCAGGTTTTTACTCCCATCTTGGCGCCTATTTTTAAAAGGCAATCGAAGTATAATGTTTTAATGTTATATTCAACAATAATCTTGGGGAAATACATTTTTAAGATTTATGAATCGGTAATTTTATTTAATAAAAACAGTTCCTCATTGCAAAAAGTGTTGCCTGCACGCAGGCGAAATATAAGCCTAATTTCAAAAGCCAATCTGCAGAAAATAAAATTTTTTTTAGTTCAATGTACTCAAATGAATTTCAGTGATGGTATAGTCCTCTCAAACAACTTAATTTTTTTTGCCGCTTTAAAAGTGTTCGCTCACAAATCGCTATGAATGAATTAAAAATTCTCAAAAATAAATAACAAACAATTTAATGATCATAATGCAACTTTGAAATCGGAATCCGATTAGAAAAGCCAAATAGCATAAAGTACAGTCAAAAATGCAGTCATCTTCAAATTTTTATTCTGATAATTTTCCACAATTTTTTGATAAGCCTTTTAAGTATAATCGGAACTATTTCATATCTTAAAATAATAATAATATATTCTAGGTCAATTTAGATAGCTCTTTACTGACCCATTACCCATAAATGGATCTAATATTTTCTTATTTAAGTGTAAAAGTCGATTTACTTTACAATGCGGCTTAGGGAAAACGTACGTCAATATTTTTACCCTTTTCCCTTCTTTAATACAGGTTGGAAGCGGCTCAGGAAGTAGTGCAAGCAGAGCATCAACAGGACTCCTTAGGCGGGGGGCACTTGGGTCGAAAGGGAGCCCATCGCTTAGCTGATAGAATGGGTGGCCCGAAAAAAGAGGAAAACCCACCAGGTGGTGGTCCGACGTCATTGTTTATTCTAACCGAGGATAACCCAATTAGAAAGTACACACGATTCATCATAGAATGGCCGCCCTTTGAATACGCTGTGTTATTGACAATCATAGCCAACTGTGTTGTGTTGGCACTAGAGGAGCACTTACCAGGGGGCGACAAGACAGTATTGGCTCAAAAATTGGTAAGAAAAGTTCCCAATCCGATCTGATTAGAAGATAAAGTTGTATAACTAATCCCCGGACTGATTTCCATTTGGCAAAACTAGGAAAAAACGGAGGCCTATTTTTTATGCATTTTCTGTGTAGAAGCGTCGCTCAAGATCCTCGCCTTAGGGCTTGTTCTGCATAAACACTCCTATCTCAGGAATATTTGGAACATCATGGATTTTTTCGTTGTAGTTACGGGGTAAATAATGAACTTAACTTTTTCCCCATACATGCACATTTTATTTAAAAAAATATATCACTTAAGTTAACCACGCCGTGCAAGCTTTATTTTTTGTTTAATCCAACCAAATTTCAAGAGTACCTATGTCTTTTGGTCATAATGAATTTCCCAAAAAAAAGTTATTGAAACACCAACTAACAATTTATTCTACGTTGAATCATTATGATTAAGGATATAAAAACCAAATTAGATTAACAACTTTTTAAATAGTTATAAGATACAGAACAGAAGTCCATAATCATTTTATAAAGATATGTATGTAGTAATAAAATTTCTTATTTGAGGTAAAGACTGTTTGTCGGATAAAACCATTCCCATATTAAAATCTATTAATGTATAATTAAGTAAGCGTTTTTAATAACAACTTCTCCCGTATGTTCATATGCAAATTCGAAATGACCAAAAACAGAGCCATGACGATATTTGCTGAGGCCAATATAGACGTTGACCTGCGTATGTTGCGATCTTTTCGTGTTTTACGCCCACTGAAGCTCGTATCCCGAATTCCAAGTAAGACATCCGCCATCAAGCAAATCATTAGTTGCTATGAAAAGATCCTAGGCCAGTTAATATAACGATTTCTTCAGTAAAAATATTTTTACATATATATTAATTTTAAAAATTACACTCCAAAGCACATACTTATATGTATGTATAGGCTAGTTGATTTATGTTATCTTAGGAGTAGCAACAAACGGAATTTTCAGAAATAATGTTCACGAAATAGATATTCCAAAATCGTCAAAAACTGCGCCTAGAATTATTAGTTATATATGAAGTAGTAATTATAAGATATTTCTGTGTCACCTAGATTAATTTGTCAAATTAGAAAAATAATTAATTTCTTCCTTTCAAAAAAGATAAAACAGGAGCTCGGTTGTACGGTACATTAGGAATTTCTAATCATAAACTAAGTATGATTAGCAATACTTAACTATAGAAAGCATCAGTAGGATGCAACATGTTACTAATTGGAAACTAGAAAAGTTTTATTGTAGTTTTATTTAAAATAAATATATAAAAATTGTAATCACATAAATTGAATTCTTCGATGTACAGTGGTAGCCACGACTTTAGCATCAAACCCATTGACATAATGAAATCTTTTTTTATAAGAAGCTATTAATAAAATAGTAAAAAATCGCTACCACTCGGTAGATGTTTTTATTTATGTCAAACAAATATTTTAGTGTGTCAAAATGTACTTATTTTTTAACTAAAATAAATCTATAGCTTAAGGTATATCGTGGAACGCTTTGTGGAAATATACCTTTAAATTACTGTATACTTTTTATCTTTTATAGTATTGTTAACTAGTAAAATAACCGTTATTTTTAATTTTATAAAACATAATACAATACAAATAAAATAGTTAAATAAATATAAGTAAGAACAGGCTAGACATAAATCAGCGTAATTCGTATGCAGTGATGGCAATATAACTAAAGAACTAAGTCTTAAGAGTAATTGACCGATTAATTCAAATCCATTCGAACTAGATTGCATCTTGCAAGTCACCAAATAACCCCTTTAAAAGGTGGTAGGAAAATATTATTGATTTTCGATAATAGCTGGCACAAAGATTATAGTTTTACCAGTTCATTTTAGCCTTTAACCTTATCTTTGTTTAGCCACATACAATGTCACATAGTACATTTAATAAAATTCTTTTTTATTTTGTTCAAACGAATTTTTGAGGTTTATATATCTTTTCAAAAAATATCACCAAAAGATATCGGTTGAAAGGATACATTTCTTACTTATTTTACAATAAGCAGTGTATATGTTATAAGCATAGCTTGATTTTATGTATTTATAGACTAAAATAGTTATCTCTTAATCATATTCTATTTCATAGCTGACAATTACCATAGTTTGTATTTGCTCTCAAAAAAAATTGAATATATCCCAGATGATCTTGATGAAAGTGCTAGGGAATAGAGAGCAAATATAAACTATTCTGCGTTTTCGCTTGGGTTACCCATTGTGTGTGCGAAAAATATGAACTAACCGCCCGCGTTAAACGTTACTCTCGATTAATTTAATTGAATATTTACATTATTGAAGTTCTTAGTTGCCTTTTGCTTTCGATTTAAGTTTTAATTTAAGGTGCACAATACAAGACAAATGTACAATTTTGGTTTTCACTCTTAATTTATGATTATCTGACTATGATAATTTGATCCTGTATCCATTGAGTATCGCTAATCAATATATAACTTCATTTTGATCGCTTAACGTTTGCAAACAGATTCATGACACAGTACCCACAAATAGGGCCCGAGGTAGACCTAAGAACACTTAGAGCCATTCGTGTGCTACGGCCCTTAAAATTAGTGTCTGGAATTCCTAGTGAGTAGTTCCTCTGTTTTATTCTACTTTTCCAACTTCTTCTTGTCGTTACCGTTCTCGTCGTTGTCTTTTCTTATTTTGTGTTCAAAATTCTACCTAAGTTATGATCGCTCCAAACTTTTAAGTGTGTGTAAATGTTATCATAATGAGTGAGTGTGTTTTGGAATTCTTAATTTTTCATTTATTCTCTGTATGTGTGTTTTATTTTTAGTATGTGTGTGTGATATAAGAGCCTCCATTTTTGCCACCACTTAGTTTCGATTTTATTTTGAACGTACTCTTTTCTATTAGAATTGTTGTTTGTACCTGGAACATGGTTGTCGTAGAGTTTGTGAAACTTTCTTTCTGTGACAACCATGTCCTAAATGTGAACACACCCGATGCATTCTGATCTTTCTAATCCAACGTCCCGTTTCTTTAACCAACCAATTAACTCTGGATCGGATGAACGCCAACGTCAACAGGTTTACAAGTAGTTTTAAAATCTATAATCAAGGCGATGGCACCTTTACTGCAAATCGGTCTCTTGGTGTTGTTTGCAATCGTAATTTTTGCAATCATTGGACTCGAGTTTTATTCGGGCGCACTGCATAAGACTTGTTATAGCTTAGAAGATCCAAGTAATGTTCCCAAATACCATACCCCTTGCCCATGACATGATAATGGCTAATGATTTTCGTTTTGGAGCAGACAAACTAGTAAAGGAGGGCGAATCAGAGACGCCTTGCAACACGGACAACAGCACGGAAAAGGCAACCGGCTCCTTTGTATGCAACAATACCACGAGCATGTGTCTAGAAAAATGGGATGGACCAAATTCAGGCATCACGAGTTTCGATAATATCGGATTTGCCATGTTGACCGTATTCCAATGTATCACGATGGAGGGCTGGACGTCAATACTGTATTGGGTAAGTCCAACTACAATTATAGTTCTTGCTCTTGATCAATAAATATTAGACTTTGAATTATATACCAAAACGTATTCTAAGGATTTTATTCATAGCGATCTTTGATTTAAGACAAATGTTTCTTAAAGAATGAAAATTGGATTAAACTTAAAAAATATTGACTTTTTTAGTTAATAATTTGAATAATTTGATCTTAACTAAGCTAACTTGAATTCAACTGTGAAAAATACTTATTTGGATATAATCTGATGTCTAGTGATGACATTTTCATATTGTATTATCCCCCACTTACTAATTCTTCTCCACAGACCAACGACGCATTAGGTTCAGCATTTAATTGGATATATTTCGTGCCTCTTATAGTTATAGGCTCATTTTTTATGCTCAACTTAGTTCTTGGTGTCCTTAGTGGGTAAGTTGATCACGAATCGCTTAATTTATCGATAAAGACATTTATACACCAGTTCACATTTCTTTTACTTATCATTTTTGTTTCTTCCGTTCAGAAAAAAAAGGTTTTGAAAATACTGCATACATATGTTTAAATAATTTTGATATGAAGATGGTTTACCACATAATTGTAAAGATAAAAAAAAGTGCCCAGTTGCCAGATTATACATATGTATATATCGGTTTTACGTAGAGCTTCTTGCATGCGCGTACAGGGAGCCAATTAAGGTAAATTTGACTGTAAATTAATCGAAATTTATTGATTTGAGGCCAGAGGAGTAAAAATATATGTATGTACGTGTTTGAAATACTTTAATTTTGAGTTGCATTCCTTTTCCGTTCGGTTTCTCTATTTTGGAATTTCGTTCAATGCATTTAACTATCGTATTCCCGAATTCAGAGAGTTTTCGAACGAACGAAATCGTGTCGAACGTCGCATGGAGTTTCAGAAATGCCGCTTTCGGGCCATGTTTCAGACAGCAATGGTCTCGTACCTTGACTGGATCACACAAGCAGGTTTATACAACTAGATCTATATCTAAGTGCAACCAAGTAAACTGCCATAATCAACCCGAACGTCATACAAAACACAACCTGCAATAATTATAACAACTTACTATCGGCCAAAAAACAAAGACAATAAGTCAACTCGTACTTATGTATGTTTATGTTATCGAATCCGAGCGAGTTCATTGAATTAAACACCCATCAAATTAAACAACCAAAAGCAAACTCTGCATAAGACCTATACTTCCCAATTTATAAAGAACTTGTTTGATTTACTGCTAGTTATGTATTCTTAAATAGATCGCAAGCAATCCCCCGGCTACAAAAAGAGTTCTGGTACCCAAAACCTACTTACTATCAAATAATACAACAACTTCCAATGAACCGAATAATTAATACTAACTGCGAAATGCTGTACACCCCACTATAGTTCAACCAATACCAATCGAAAAAATAATCGAATCCATATACTCTCCAGTGCGTATTGCGTGTTAAATATATTCTCTGCATTTTGCCACACTTACTACTTACCATAGAGACAAAGTTGAATTCCCTCCAGCCTAAATAAACCAAACTAACCAAAAATAGCTATTTCTACTAAAGTTAGCCATTTTAACCTCCAACTATATATACATATATGTGCCATTCCCCGCCAGAAGTGTCGTGAAATGTTGTTGAGTCTCGATCTAGATCTCGATCTAGGCCATATACACTCCCCATACACTTTGAACACTGTCGCCAGTGCACCCACCTATCAATATCAGTGTTCTGTCCCCAGGTTTATAATCGCCATCAATATATCAACGATCCAGACTCAGTGACTCCCGGCGAAACACAGGGCCAAATCAGAGTTATTGGGATCCCGATGACGCTATATGGCATCATCAACCCATGCGTACCAAATAAATCATATTAAATATGCTTGTATGCACACATATAATCTTACACAATCCCTTCTTATACTATATTATATATATATTTCCTTGACTTTTGACCCCATTCAAAGAGGGTCTCGTCGGGGGGCGCTCTCCGACGCCAAAAAACAAATATATAAATATATATATACCTACATATATTAAATTGCATTTCTGTTACTTAATTTCCAGCAAATAATTTTGATTTTCTGTTTATGCCCGTTTGTTGTGTGAGTTTTAAGAAAGCACTAATATATCTTCTTCTTTTTAAAATCTTTGATTTTTGTTTTATGGTTAATTCGATTCTTCTCAGTTGATTTTACACTCGTACAAAATAAAGACGAAAGTATGGTGTGAACTTTGAACAACAAAATACCAAAGCATACTTGATCGTTTTAGCAATCAATCAATCCTGTTTTTTGGTTTATCACGTTCTATTTAATTATTTTTTGTAGTGAATTCGCAAAAGAACGAGAAAAAGTAGAAAATAGACAAGAGTTTCTTAAACTTAGAAGGCAGCAGCAACTAGAAAGAGAGTTAAACGGCTATGTTGAATGGATTTGTAAAGCTGGTATAGTATTTCCCCTATTTCTTGTTTGTAAATCTATATAATATGATTAAAATCATAAATAATTCTCATACACAAATATTTAAACATAAAAATTTTTACATTATTCACCCCATATTCATCCACACATATACATATGTACAAATATATATTTAAACTAGGTCTTTTGATGGCTCCCCTAACTTTTAAAACTAAAATTGAATTTAAGTGTCAAGGATTTATCAGCAATTTCCTTTAAAATAATTGATCGACAGTCATTATCAAAATTTTCTTTATAACAGCTCCTGTTATGGTCAAATGCCAGATTTTATGTATTTCATAAACCTTCCTGTTGGATTGTTTTATTTTACTTACTAATGCAGGTCTTGAAAGTTTTACTTTAATATCATTGACTGGATATTGCTTATCCCAATTGAAAACTTTTACATAAAATAGCAAAATAAAAGAAATGAAAGTATACCTACATGTTGTAATAAGATGTTTCTAAATAGCCAGCACTTTTGGCACATTTTAGCTTCCCTTTCCTCATAGAACCAACATAAACCTATACATTGCCAAATTTAAAATAAATAAATTCCTAAATATACTCTGAAATAAAGTAGTTATCGTGGAAATATGGACACAGATCCTTCATACCTCCCTACTATAAAAACACAAGCCTACATAAACTTAACTGTACATAATACATATATCCTTTCTGCTTATGTGTTGATCAAATCGATTTACTTGTTGTGACCAACTACCAATCACCGGATTTTAATGTTATTCCAGAGGAGGTAATACTAGCCGAGGAGAGAACAACGGAGGAAGAAAAAATGCACATAATGGAGGGTAAATTAGAACAAATTTGAATTACGAATTTAATGCATTCAAATTATCCTTATCATCCTTATAGCTCGTAGACGAAACGCTGCCAAGCGGAAAAAGCTGAAAAGCTTGGGAAAGTCCAAGTCGACAGACACAGAGGAGGAGGAAGCCGAGGAAGATTATGGCGACGATGGTAAGAAAGATATTTAAAATATAGTACTGTCCTAAGAACTGGGGTTTGTAACTAACAAGACAAAACGCGAAAGACGTTTGATCCCAAGTTTCCAAGGAATAATTATAAATTAAAAGGATGCCAAAAGGGGGGTTAACCCATGTTTGACAGAATATTGTTAAATTTGGGTTTTAGTGCTACGAAATGCCACAATTTCAATTATCCTTTTTAGTTTTAACGGGAAAGTTTTATTGCATTTAAAGCAATTACGATATACAATTAATTTAATTTTTCATTTCTATGTTTGAACTTACTACAACAAAAACGAAATTGTAAATCTTACATTGACTATGTTCCAAATGTGTAAGTAAATTATTATTTATTTTTCACGAAGTGAAAAATCTGCACCGACGTCAGATAGTAAACAGCCCCATTTGATTCGTTACCCAAATAACTAGAAAATATCATCGTACAGCAACTATTTAAATCTTTGTTAAACTTTCACTTGTGTAAATATGAGAAAGTAGTTGGTATTAGATGTCCTTTTTTTTTGACTGTAGACTTGGATGTATCTGGCATATAAGTTCTCTATAAATTTTAGTAATCTGAAAACTAAAAATGGATTCATAGATTTGTTGTCTTTATTTGTATAATCAATGCTCTCTTATAAAGTTCAAAGATTTAAACCAAGTAATAAAAATGCTGATACACATATATTTAGTCAGGATAAGGAGACGAATAATGGTCTTTCGAACTTTGAAAAAAAACCGTTAGATAGAACATTTTAGGAAATTCGTATTGGCTTGAGTCAGCTGAGCATAAAGTAACGTCTTTGTAGAGATAGTGCCCACCCAAGAAATATGTAAAACTCGCACTTGTGTAACGTCGTCTACATAACAAATAGTTTACCATACTCTTTATCGCTAAAATCATATATATGAGTACATTAATGTTTACCAACAGTGCAATTCAAAGCCAAAGAAGTCAAGAGGTATATATTTCATTATGAAAGCGACATGTATTGATTGTTACCAAGAATCGTTTCGAATTGTTTTGAAATGCACTGCACTCGTATTCGAGCAGTGTACACAACATTTGCCTGGTTGTATCCATAGGTGGAGATATTTGTAACCGCACAGCTGCTCAATCAGAGGACCCTAATCTTATGGATTGTTGCTCTGTGTTCTCTTTAGGTTATCTGAAAACTCGGTCAAAACCTCAAGGAAGTTGCACTGGTTTTTGGCGGGCGGAGAAAAGATTTCGTTTCTGGATCCGGCACACGGTAAAGACGCAGTGGTTCTACTGGTTCGTGATAGTCCTCGTCTTTCTGAATACGGTCTGCGTGGCCGTCGAGCATTATGGCCAGCCCTCGTTTCTCACCGAGTTTCTCTGTAAGTATAAGTAAATGAGGTTATCCTACTAGAGTCCGATATAATCCCTATGAATATAATCCCTTACAGACTATGCCGAATTCATCTTCCTGGGACTCTTCATGTCGGAAATGTTCATCAAGATGTATGCGTTGGGACCGCGCATCTACTTTGAGTCGTCGTTCAACCGTTTTGATTGTGTTGTCATTAGTGGTTCGATATTCGAAGTGATCTGGTCCGAGGTCAAAGGCGGTTCGTTCGGTCTGTCTGTGCTGCGTGCCCTGCGATTGCTGCGCATCTTCAAAGTAACCAAGTACTGGTCGTCGCTGCGCAATCTAGTCATCTCTCTGTTGAACTCGATGAGATCGATCATCTCATTGTTGTTCCTGCTCTTCTTGTTCATCCTCATATTCGCCTTACTTGGCATGCAGTTGTTTGGCGGACAGTTCAATCTGCCAGGAGGCACGCCCGAAACCAATTTTAACACTTTCCCGATAGCACTGTTGACCGTATTCCAAATCCTCACAGGCGAGGATTGGAACGAAGTCATGTACCAGGGCATCATATCTCAGGGTGGTGCTCAGAAAGGAATGATTTACTCTATGTAAGTGTATGTCTGTATTACGTATCATTCTATCATGCGCATTGTAAAGTATGCCAGTCCTCCTAAGTCAAAACGTACAAGTAAACGTAGTAAGCGCACAATGGAAAAAACCTATTGATCTTGGCCCACTACTCGTTAGGATTTGTTATTACATTTGCCGTCCTCTTATACCCGCCCCTTAATAAGTAAACAGAAAGTAAAAGGAAAAACTCTCACCAAGCGAATTCGCAATTCATTGAACGTCGAACCATTAATGTGTGCAATCGACCCTTGACTTCGGAGCTTGAAGAATTTTATCCACCAAAATTCTGCAAGCCCAAGTCACAAGAAACAGCAAAACAAGCAACCCACTAACTATCATTCATCGTGAATACCCACTAATCCGTAAGTGTAGAAAGCTCTTGGTCTTTGAAAATTAATCTGTACACTCAATTAAACGCTATACCTTTGTCTATTCTCAATCTCATCTCTCTATTTACAGCGATTCAACAGAAATAGCGTTTCTCAAGCGCAAACTCAAACTCAAACTCTAACTCAAACTAAGCGTAGTAGCTTCAGTTCTCGAAACAAACAGTCCAATAATTCCCGATTACGTTTTTTACAAATCCCCAGCACACGTTGACGTATATTTTGAGTTTCATACCCTAACATCGAGGAGGTTCCTCTCCTGAGCTAATGCCCCAAAAATAAATAATGCAATGAGTGTTTAAACTCTGATTGTTCTTTGTGTGTTCTTGATGCTCTTTCGACAGATACTTTATCGTTTTGGTACTCTTCGGAAATTACACGCTATTGAATGTGTTCTTGGCTATCGCCGTTGATAATTTGGCGAATGCCCAAGAACTTACAGCAGCCGAAGAGGAACAAGTCGAAGAGGATAAAGAGAAACAACTGCAGGAGCTCGAGAAGGAGATGGAGGCCCTCCAGGCGGACGGGGTTCATGTGGAGAATGGCGACGGTACTGTGGCCCCCAGCAAGTCCAAGGGCAAGAAGAAGGAGGAGGAGAAGAAGGAGGAGGAGGAAGTGACGGAGGGTCCCAAACCGATGTTGCCCTACTCATCGATGTTTATACTTTCACCAACCAATCCGTAAATATTCCTTCACTAAATCAGCCATCCATTTCTCATGGTCATGGGTCATTTTCGTAGTGCAATCAGTTAGGGCCTCATCCTAGTATTAAGTTAACCGAGTTTCTTACAGCAGCAGCAGTGCCCCAAAACGCTGGCAAGGGAGCAAATGGATTACTTGTATTCCATTTAAGTATGGTGCCTCCCCCATTTTGTAGTTATGATTCAGTCCAAGGGTTTAATCAGTTATTACGGGTCTTGTAGAAATATTCGTTACCCTATTTGTACAGTATTCTGTCCTAGTTATACTTACTATCATTCATAGACAATGACATTTTAAAATATTTGATGAACTACAATAACTGTAGTACAACTTAATCAATTACTGATGCAATACTCTTTTCTTTTTACCTTTTTTCCTGTTTTGGATTACAATCTTATGTTGCACACAACCAAACAAATTAACGAACCACTTGATCTATTGAACGAAATAACTTGTGCTTGTAAATATATTCAACCACAAAATCCGACTACAATTATTACAATCATCAACCATCAACCACCACCACAAAATCATCATTAAAAACTGCAATAATTATGTTAAAATATCATTGACACTTTTAACAAAAAATAAAAACAACTGATTAACAACAATAATTTCTTAAAAACAACGAACTATATCTCAAAATTCAAACAAACCAAAACAATATATCAAAACTTGAAATATTTAATCTGAATTGGAACGACGACAAAAATGAAAACTATCAACCAATTCAATAAAATGAACGGGTGCCCAAAAAAATCGAATCAAAATATTGAAACTCAACAAAATCTTTAAAATTGTACCTACACAAAACTGAATTTCAAATCAAATACGATAAAAACCATAAAATAAAAACTAAAATGCCACCGAATTTGACGCAACCCCGAATGCAAAAATATTATCATGATCCTAATTGATTACATGTCTAAACCAAAATATATGAATCGAAACTTATCAATTTAAAACCTATATTCGCTGTCCGATAAATTCGAAAACCGAAAAACGAAAAAACGAAAACGCACGACTTATACAGCATACGACGCGGAGCCCATTGGGTTGTTAATTTACCATATTTTGATTTCTTCATTATGGTTGTCATCTCAATGTCATCAATAGCATTAGCAGCCGAAGATCCCGTTCGTGAGAACTCAAGGCGAAACAAGATATTGAATTATTTCGATTATGCATTTACCGGCGTATTCACGATAGAAATGTTGCTGAAAATTGTAGACTTGGGTGTAATCCTGCACCCTGGCAGCTATTTAAGAGAATTCTGGAATATTATGGATGCTGTGGTCGTTATATGCGCTGCTGTTAGTTTCGGTTTCGATATGAGCGGTAGCAGCGCTGGACAAAATTTATCGACTATTAAATCGCTTCGGGTATTGCGTGTCCTACGCCCATTGAAGACCATTAAGCGTGTACCAAAATTGAAAGCCGTGTTCGATTGCGTCGTAAACTCATTGAAAAATGTTGTTAACATTCTAATCGTGTACATATTGTTTCAATTTATATTTTCTGTTATTGGAGTACAATTGTTCAATGGAAAATTTTTTTATTGTACGGACGAAAGTAAACATACTTCCGCAGAGTGCCAGTAAGTAACATTTATATATTTAATTCAAGTTTACAAATTGTTCATTCGCTTTCTTAAGTTCTTCGTAATTTTAATCTTGATCTTAGTTAGACCTGATTTTCTAATGTTGTGTCTTGTTTTTTTTTTGTTGATTGGATCATTTTGCAAATAAGACTCTGGCTAAGAAGCCATATAATTATTGTCCCTTCGTAGAGTGACCTCTTTTAGGTTTTTTTTATTTATGTACCATCTCGATCATTTAATCCTCTTTAATCGTATAGTCGCGTTACTTCGTAGCGCTCTAGCATTCCCACTCTCTCCCACCAACACGCTCTCTATGACTATCTTTCTATCTGTCTCTCTTGCTAACTTTGTGTGTTTCCTTGCCTAAGGTCAAATAATATAAATAGTTGACTGACAAATCCTCAAAACAACGTATGTACATTGCGTAGCTTTTAGATTTGGAAAGAAACAAAAACATTTCACCCACTCGTACGTACAATTCCCGAAATGTTTCTGGACTCTTTACACGTACATGTATAGCTATGTTCAAGATAATAGCACCACCTCCTTCCATCACCTTTAAAACGCCGTTGTCTCTCTTATTTCTAACTGATCAGAGGGTGCGTTAGTTTGCACGCCTGTATAAGATACTGTAGAAAATAAAAGAGCTTAAATCTATTAAATAAAATTGGTAGTGCTAAAGTGAGTGATTAAACAATGTTTATAAGGGAAAAGTTTTAAAAATACATTTACAAATTCACTTGATCCTTCCAATGTGAAAGCTAATATGTGTTTCCGACCCATATCGTTTGATATTTCTTTAATTTCCTATTTAATATAGTCTTCTCCTACAAATTATGGCACAACTTTTCCAAATGTAAATTAAAAAGTGAGACAACTGACTGTTTAAGAAGATGTGAGGATGCAATAGTGCTATTTTAATAGGGGTTTTTCGCCTACACAACACTTCTATACCTTCCAATACATCGATGTCTAGCTGTTATGTTTTGATTTTGTGTGTCTATCTGCATACAAATTTGCATTCCTTTTAAGGTACAAACACTCTGAGAAAGTGTGGCAAGCCAATTGCCTGTGGCCTCTGATTGGGTTTTGTTACTGGAATCAGTAATACTGAATGTTTAATAGAGAAAGCAGGACATGGCTTTTGTTAGACTATCCCCCTGCTAGTGTACATATCTATTAACATTTATATATGTGCCTACGTGTTTGTAACAATGTTGAAGTGGTCCTAATAGAGAGCAATTAGGATATAAGTTTTCAGACCCATTCCCTGTTTTGTATGTGTGTTGTACGATTGTTTCGTTAACCTAAACATTATTATTATCCTTCTGTTTGTTATATTACCATATTTGTTTTCATGAAACCAAAAAAGGTGCACTGATTTAACAGAATGTAAGAGTAGCATTTTATAGTTTCTCGCCATGTTTTTCTTGCCTGACTTGTCTAATTAACAGTCACGCGACTAAACGGGCCAAAAACAACACAACTAAAAAGGAAAAAAACGAAATCTAACCATAAACAAAAATTGAAAAAGAAAAAAAAAAAACAACCGAATCAAAAAGTGACTGATAAAAAGCATATGAAATATAGAGAAAATGCGTTCGAATTAACATCTGTGATATAGAAATGCAAACCTACAGTTTCTAGTTACCACCTAAAAAACCTTACCAGTTACGCCTAATTTTCTATAATTGTTTTATCTATATATATACTATTTAATCAGTTAAGCCGTATCAGTGTATGTTTGTATATGTTGTCTTCACAAGCAAAAGCTCGGGAAACACCAATGGAAATAGAAAGATTCTTCGCGTTTAGCCTGTGTACTTAAGCCACAATAATATCTGTATTTAAATGTTTCATTTATTTGTAATTGGGTATTCTCTAAATACCAAAGAGTCCATATTACTACCAGAAGATTTCTTAATAAGCACGCGCATAGCAGTCCACGGACCGTTTTAGAATAGAAAACTAGATATAAAGATTTGAAGAGGTTTCATTCAACAACTCAGCTCTGATATTACATAGTTCAAGGCCCGATTCCTTAGGGAAGAGCGACAGTATGGTTCAAATTTCATTTCTGGTCCAAGGTCCTGGCTTTCCTTTTTCTAAGTTTTTCTCCATACCAAGTAGTAAGTGTATCCTTAAATCTAGCCATCATCCATGCATACACGTCATTATTTGTATGTCCCAGTATAAATCTAACTAACAAAAAACAGAAACAGTCTTCGGTTTGTACGATTAGTGCTATCGTAGGAATCGTAACCATTTTTTAGTAGACTATATCCACCTAGATGACGAGCGCTCTTTCCCAAGTTATGTGTGTATAAAGAGTATCATTGTGTATTATATTATTAACACCGCGTATCTTACACTCGACGCTGTTGAGAAGTGAAAACAAAGCCCGATACTTGCGTTGTAACCGAGGGACGTTCAACGACATATTAAAAGCCATAGAGTATCGGTTTGTTTTAGCTGTTTGGCCTTCGTATGCAATAACTGTGGTCAACCTAATTGACAACCAAATCAAATCCAATTTAAATTTATTAAAAAAACCAAATACATATGTACACGTACATCCCAACGCCCACTAGCATTTACACTCACGCCTTTTCGCCGCCAGTGATGGAACATTTTTTGTATGTAACTAGGTCTTATTAAAGGTACACAAAGTACGCTTTAAAATAAAATTTGTTGTATTCCCTAAACATCCTCCCACAATTTCCAATCGGTTCGAGTTTAACACGAGGAGCTAGAGCGTCATTAAAAAAGCAGCAACAGATAGTTTTGCAAGCAGCTTGAATTCGGAATATATTTTCTTTGGTATTTGTGTATTTGCCTAATTTCCTCCAATCCAAGATAAGAACCCATTAATTTGAGCGCAGCTGCTTTGTTACACATCACCGAACCGACAACGGGCCGAACCACAAAACCCCAAAAAGAGGGAGCTCAACTTTTGATCCACAGCTCCAAACCGAACCATAGTCTTTTCCATTCATCCATCTTGCTGGTAATGGGCTTAGAATTTCTTTTTTTGTATGTAGTGATTTTCGAACATTTCTTTATTTGTACGCCTTCTTATTCAGACCGTAACGAGTATTGATTTGGTTTGAGATGATCTCGACCATAGAGTGTATCTTATTCCAAGTCAAATTGCCTACTCGTACAAGGTCAATGCAGTATTTAGATATGACAGCAGCTTCTTCCACAACTGACTTACCATCCACCAACTGAACAACAAGAATGTGACTACAATTCATTATTGCAAAATCAATTCTACCAGGGGTGTCTGAAAAATTTCTTCAAGCGCTAGTCCAATTGGTTTTCTCACGACCATAAAGAATAGTTATTCAAGTAACGGTAGCATAAGAATGCGGGCCCTATCCATCAGCAGAGAAGCATTCTCAAAGTAATTGAACTCTTAAGAAACTGAAAAATTCCGAAGTTCAGACAGAATTTATCGAATCAACAGCGATTTTTACGGCACCCCAGTATGTGTTCCTATAGAAATCTAAATTTCCTTTTTATTTAATAGACTTCGATCTCTACACATATTTCTCATCAAAACCATTTCACTATTCCATTAAACTTTCAAAAGTTAAAAAAAAAATAGAAAACAAAAAATAACGGTCAAATGTATTTCGATCCCCAATTGATGTTCGGTTCAGTTTTAGATGCTTGCCAAACTTTAGTTTCGATTCATTGCTTTTTTCGTTTGACTTAGTGTTTTTTGCGCAAACTTTATTTTGGTATTTTCTCTAATGAGTCTCAATCAAATTAATAATAAATCCACAAATGACTAACATCAACACCATCCAATAAACATGAAAACCCTAAATAAACCAAATCCGAAAACGAAAAAACAAATAAAAAACGCAACCAAAGGGGCTCGTACTTTAAGTACGAGGAGGACGAGCTGCTGCCAAAACAGGAACTGAGGGTCTGGAAGCCTCGAGCCTTCCACTACGATAATGTTGCCGCCGCGATGCTCACACTATTCGCCGTTCAGACCGGCGAGGGATGGCCACAGTAAGCCACTTTGTTGTTATAACTAATAAATATATCTGTATACCTTCCTCTATGTTTCCAAATCTGTAAACGTAAATGTATCTGTATCTATGATCTATGATCTGTCTCTGTTGGTTGAACATCGACCTGGAAGACATACCTAACTGATATCTTTTGCCTCTCTTTCTCCACAAAAACTGCACCTTGAATGTCCATCAAAATCCACACACCCGTGTTAAAACGAAACCACATTCATCGATTCAACTGCGAATATACGAATAGGGTCTTGCAACACTCAATGGCTGCCACTTATGAAGATAGGGGTCCAATCCAAAATTTCCGGATCGAAATGTCCATATTTTATATTGTGTATTTTATTGTGTTTCCGTTCTTCTTCGTCAACATATTCGTGGCCTTGATTATTATTACGTTTCAAGAGCAAGGCGAAGCTGAGTTACAAGATGGCGAAATTGACAAAAATCAGGTGAGCCAGACCCATCCGACCTGTAAACGTATGTGAGTCCAAATCTCTACCTTTCTCTGTCTCTCTCTCTCTGCTTATAAATATGTGTGTGTGTGTATGTTGTGTAATGTACCATTAGTCGTATACGTAAAACCAAAAAAAAACCAAAAAGTTAAAGTTAAATATTAATAAATTGATTAATTATTAATATGCACGTACATTTCACTAACTCGTAAAAACCCGCTACCGACATAACTAGTAGTACTGCTAATACTAATACTACAACTACAACTATTTACTACAGAAAAACGTTCCAAATATAAATCAAAAGTAAATCAACGAACGCCAACACAACAAGTACACACTGTACACTAAGCCAAATACTCGTACATAAAATGTGTCTAAACCCAAGAACGTAAATCCTAGTATAGTTCCATATGTACTTGTATGTGCGAATTGTTTGCCTTGCTTTCTCGCCTTTCGTTGTGGATGACCCCCAAACACCCCCACAAAAACACTCTCCAGTTAAATATATATATATATATATAGATTCTATATATATTTGCGTATAGATCCGCTCTTAGATCTCGTGTATTTTGGTGGGCCTCGAAACGATTTCAGACCCTAATCCCCACATTTGGTTAGAAGCCCCCTCGATTAGAGTAGCCATTTTGATATAAATAGTGAACATTTACCGGAAAATAGAGATGTATCATTTCACTAACGATAGTCCTTAAATATTCCCTACTAGTTTTGGAATATTTAATGACCTGTATCGTAAAGTCAGTTGCCAAAAGCTGTTTAAACGCGTTGTCCATCATATCCAAAGACGATTGTAAGTATGCATTCTTCAACATCCGCCAGTAGAGGAATTTCGTAAGAAGTGTGTATTATTAATTAAGAATCAAGATTAAACCTGTTTTTTTTCTTCCAAGTACAAACCAAACACAGACATATCCCTTAGTAAAGCATAAATTTAAAATTGGGCATGTGTTTAATGAATGTATTCGCCATTAATTAAGGGGGTAGATTTGTTTAATTTGCTTTAAAAAAATGTTGCAACACCTACCCTAATCCTGACTTTTGTTTGGTTTTTTAAGATTGGAATCGAAAAGTAGCTAAAATCTATGTTAATGTGTGTACTTAGAATTATGATCTCATTTGGTATTATCAGGGGTAACACAGAAATCGCGCAGAGCTTAATTGGAATGAGTTTCTCATAAGCATCCATTTAAATCTGGACCATTTCATCGCTGCGCGGTTTCAGTGCACCCCCGTATAAATTGATTCATTTATAAAATAGGCGTTAACACATTTTAGTTAATCTTTGGAAAACATGTATTGCGAAATGAAATTAGCCACGAGCGCCAATTTAAAAGGACACCCGAATTCATCACCATAATTACGTTTCTCTTCACTCTAGAAATCCTGCATCGATTTTACTATAGGAGCACGCCCCCTCGAACGCTACATGCCCAAAAATCGGAACACCTTCAAGTACAAAGTGTGGCGAATTGTGGTGTCAACGCCTTTCGAGTACTTCATCATGATGTTGATCGTATTCAATACCCTTTTGCTGATGATGAAGGTAAGTTCCTGGGCGGAAAATATGTGACATAAACTACTGCTACTACTACTATAAACTATATAAACTCATAAAAACTTTTTTTTAATCTCAACAGTATCATAATCAAGGAGACATGTACGAAAAGTCACTGAAGTACATCAACATGGGATTCACCGGAATGTTTAGTGTCGAAACTGTGCTGAAAATCATTGGATTTGGTGTCAAGGTAAGCCCTTCAGTTCATGGTTACTGATAGAGTTAGGATTTTAGTTCATCCAATCATATTATCATTTGTTATTTCGAATAACGTGATTCTATTCGATCGCGTTGTAGAATTTCTTCAAGGACCCGTGGAACATTTTCGATTTAATCACCGTTCTGGGCAGCATTGTGGATGCACTTTGGATGGAATTCGGGGTAATTATCAGTTACTTGTCACAACACGACTCAGAGCATACATATTATTGTTGTGTTCGATTTCTGTGCCGTTATGCAAGACAAGAAACAATGTAATTCTTAACTTAATACCAAGTGTATCTAGCTTCATTATTTTGCCGAGATACAAATAAACACCTAAACTTCGACACACCCACACATTTACAAGAACACAAATAAGAAAGACGAAATACTACCTATTAAGTATCTATAAAACTGTCTATACAGAATGATGCGTATGTTCATATGTATCTCGGGTATACCTTTAAGTCTACATATATTATTTCATAACCATCGTTAGGTACATAAACTCGGAAGTTGTTTCGTTAAAATTTTTTTTCAATTCAACAATCAGTGAATCGGGGGTAAAACCATGAATAATTTTGCATCTAGTTAATATTTTTGTATAAGTCTAGATGCAAGAGTTAATAGCTGTTGGACTTAGGCCTAAAAACACTTTTCCAACGATATAAAATATTTCTCAGGGATATAGCTGAGATGCCGAAAGGCGTCCGATTTAGACTACATATTTATATAATACACTTTCTTGCGGTTCTCAACCGTTTAGCCCTAAGTTATTTATTTTTATCCAGCGCAACAGTCAGGATTTGGCACTATGCACAGATGGCAAGGACAGTACAGTTACACCCACTGTTTTAAAATGTTTTTCTTATCCTTTACATTCAAACACCTATACCAACATTTTGTGTTCATTCTTTAAAACACACAAACAAAATATAACCATATCAAACCACAAAAGAAAGAAAACATCACAAATTACAGAAATTAATAATCATATTTCTTTTTTGATTTCCTTTTCCATATTTATTTATGTACGAAAACCAAAAACCAAATGTGGTTTCAAAATCGGGAAAACCCAATCCGAATCAATCCAAAAAAATGTTTCGATGAATGCAAATAAAAAAATAAATTACATAAAATATATAATAATCACTCACGCAATGATATATATATCTACACAAAAATGACAAAAAAACCACGCACACGTCCAAACAAATGTGTAATTTCATATAAATAACTCACGCAAATCTCCACATCTATACACTGGTGTAAAATTACCCTACATATAATGTTATTTATATATGCGAACGCAACGTTTTTTATGTCCCTTGCAATTGGCCACATCGGGAATGAATTGAAAACGAATTCAACCAACGTTTAAACAATGTTAACTTCAACACAAACAACAACAAAAAATACAACCAACAACAACTATACCATCTATGTAATTACAAATATCAAATGCAATGAATGTGCAACAAACTCTATATGTCTCTCTCGATCACCAAAAAAAACCACCACCACTGTTCCACTGATCCACTTGATCCACCGGTCCACTGATCCACTACCACAATCACCAATGCCACCAAATCACCACCGAATTTGTATATGAAAAAAAAAAATATATATATATAAACTCACTGAATCAATGAAATTCAAATGATTATATGCAAAATGTCAACTTGATACGAATACCAACCAAAAAAAAAAAATCAAATGATCAAATACAATCCAAATCTAAAATGGAATCCCAACCGAATCGAATCAATCAACAAATCGAATCAATCGACCAAATTAATCAAACAATCGATCAACAATTTCGATTAAAAATTATCAATCATTTCGACAAATTCCATGCATGTGTATGTGTATGTCCTGCTACTATGTATGTAAATCAACCATGCGTGCACGCACATATACACATGCATACTCGCATCCATGCACGTGCACACACACATATGTGGCTGGTGTACCTGTATGCCCGTGTATGTGTGGACGTGGCCCTCTTTCATCAACAAAAACTACATCCGAACATCGACTACAACATGTACAACTAAACGACACAACCTGCAGCACGATGTAAGTACGAAACACAATCTACACTGATTTTGCATTTATCCAAAAAGTTTTCAATGTGTAATACCAATAATACCAATCAATGAACCTAGATTCCTAAAACTTAATGCTTAAAAATGCTAAGTAATGACCTACTACTTAAAAAAGCTTATTAATTACGATATTTTTTCAACCTTTGACTTTAACTCTATTGTTTTCTTTTCGCCTACAGACCTAGTTTCATTTTATTATTATCAACTACTCACTACGAATTAGCTCTAAATTGAAAATACTTATTTATCTTAGTTAACCCATCTGACTTAAATTTCCTTATTTCGTTTCCGTTTCCGATTTGGCAATCAGCTTTCTGTTGCATAGCACACAACATTGCGATTTGTACTTGCTACTGTGTCTCTCTGTCTGTCTCTATATCTATCTGTATTTATGGTTACCTTTTACTGCCTATCTCTGTCTCTTGTAAAAAGTTGTATAGCTTGTATAAGCCTAAAGTGGAGCTAATGGTGTAATGTTCAGCAAGGGGTGGTCGCAGAATGCCAGTGTAGATCAGTAATCTATAGAATATTATAAGCTAAAATTTACCTTTTACAATATAGGTTTCCAAAAAGTACCCACTAAATTAGCTTTAGGCTTTGAATAAATGTCCCACCTAATATAGTCAATAGTTGCACTGAAAGTGGCTACACTTGTTATATTTGGAAGATGATGTAGAAATATACATAATGTTTTTGATCGAAATAAGGAAAATTCTGCATAGTTGTTTCTTATTTAAGTAAATGGTCAATATAATTCATTATCCGTGATCTTGAAGAGTTAAAATGGACAACAAATTTAACTTGAACTTTATGATGATCAAATTTTAGACCATTTTATCACTGCTAAAAGCTGACTAAAGTATACATTTTTTAAGGAGCAGACCCATTAATGTTTAATCCACATTTCTTATAAAAAGATTGAAAAAAGATAGTGTTACGTTAAACGTGACTTTAGGATTGAATTTGAAACCAAACATCTTGGTAAAGTTAACTAAAGGGACGTGATAATATCATAATTTAAAGTGCCTATATAAAAGAGAAGCACAGAATAATGAGCGTTTATAAGTTAGAAACTCCCAACTTCTATTCTAGTTAAGATATTTGGCTAAACTGATGCCTGTAAAGTGCATTGCATAAAGTGCAACTACTGTTCGAGTTTTGCACCACTTGTTTCCGTTTGGTTTACATTGCACATGGACTCCTTTGGTTTAAAAGATATTGCAAATTCACGACAAATGTCACAGAACACTCACAAAAACTCGTTGCGAATTCTTATTCTCAATCATACTGTCATGCACACACAAAACCACAAAAGCGCAAAACCCCACTTGAGAATATCCAATATTGAATAATGCTTCGTAATTCGTAAAAACTACATATATTCGATGTATAAAGCGATATAACCAAAGCAAGATCAAAGTCAGCATCATTGTCATCATTATCACATTGAACTTGTGCATCGGATGAGGTATTTTATGAGCTGCCCAACAGTCGATCAGTAACTGTAAGTAGTCGTATGCGAAGTCTTCAAACAAATTTAAATTAACACCAACCAAAGAGGTATTTGAAAAAGGCTCAGACTGGATAAACTTGTAATATCTTAAGCCAATCGTATAAACTTGACTCTTCAAAAGCATGAATTCAATACTGTTTGGTATTTTTTTATTGTCTTTTTTTATTAATAATTGAGAACCCCCTGCCAAGTTTTCCGCCTGCTCCTGCTAGTTTTCTCTCTGGGTAATGTTTTTTCGCAGATGCAGCGCCATAGTTTCTCTATATCATGAGTCACAGGATGGCTTTCAAGACTTGCTTCTTCCCGCCAAAACAAAAAAAGAACAAAAACAATCCCCTTTAAATTGCCACCTTCAGTTTTGCTATGCTCACATCTTTCAATCCCATGACTGCAACTTTAGTAGGGGCTTGGATTAGATTTCGTTTCATCTCCTGCATGTTTCACTCACACTTGCACCTTCAGATGCATTCTGAAATCCATACATACTCAATCACAAATCACACTTACGATTCTGATCGTTAAATTCATACGGAGTTCTTTTTCAAGAAGTTTGGCTTCCGCTTTTTAAACACGCAACCCCCGAATTCTTTAAAACGCTTAAGAAGTTTCAAATGCCGAAGTGTGGTTCTATAGTTGCTTGCCTTGGTTGTTCCACAGCTACAAGTCCCGAGAGTCCATAGCTCCATAAGTCTATATGGTCTAGCATAATCCAGGGTAAGAGAGGTAAAACGAAAAAATTCATTTGCGAGGTAACTTTCGGTTTTCATATTTCATTTCGCCTTTCAGTCCCGTTTTCTATTTTCTGTTTACTGTTTACAATACATTTTTTATAAAATGTGCGTGCTCGAATATAACAGCCCTCGTAGAAGTCAATAAAAATAAAACAATAATGCATAGCATAGCCAAACCGATCTGCTCGAATAGAAATATCGAATTAGATCCTTGCTGAGCTGTAATCTTCCCAACCAATTCAATTAGAAAACAATACCGACACACTAGAACAATGACATATTTACACACAATAACATTGAAAACTCTGCTTACTGATATTGATCTTGATCTATCTTTGTATACCTGCTAGAAACTGCAGAAAACTTGTCCTACTAATTTTCAACTCTACTTTATTTGTTTCTATATTTTTCAAAAAAAAACACATACTGTGTAAAAACCATTACGAAAATCAACAATAATCTCTCGAACGCCGCCCAACGAATTGCGTTTGACCTGTGATCGATCGTCAAACGTCTGAGTATATCTTGAAACTGCACTGAAAAAAACAAAAACTAATCCAATTGAATACAAAAACCAATCATAAACATTTCCTTGTTGTGTTATTCGTCCTGTAAATTGCAACAATCTGAACTAAATATTTGATTGCAATCGAATACAAACTGCTGAATAATAAATTCAACAACACCAACCACAACTACTACAACTAACAACAACAACAACAATTGATTGAGTCGTCAAAAAAAAAAAACAATATATAAATCAAAAAAATGAACCGTTTCTAATGCGGTTTATGAGTTCTGTGCCTATTGATTTGTCTCAAAACAAATCCAAAAATTTCAATTGAAAATGGTTTCTGACTAACAGGATGTAAGTAAACAAATCTATCCTATCAAGCTTTCTACTTTCAAAACGAACAAAACTCCAACATCAACGATGACAACAACAGCTACCACAACAACAACAACAATAATAAACATTACAACAACACAACATTCTACAAAATTCTTTTGACTTATTAGCCAGTTTAGCTAAACCTTAACTACAACCAGAATGTTTTTCCATTTCAAATAAAAATCCTTATATACGAGTAGATCACATCGAAGAATCCATTATCTGTAGATTCCAGTTCGAATTTCTTTTATTTGTTCGCCCACTCTCTACGTAATTACTCATAGCTAGTCAACCAGCGAATATAGACAGGGTTATTATGATCATAAAATATATATACTTGTGTGTACTATCCCGCATCCCTAATTTTCGATTTTTTGGGTTAGAATAGTCCAATTAAGTTACTTTTAAGTGCGTCGTCCCAAGTTTCCCAAAATTCACAATTACTTCTTTCGCAAGGAACAACAGCGAGGAGTTATTCTACAAAGTACTTTCCCCTCTCTATTTTCCCGCATCAGCATACCCCGCAGAGCCATTAAAATACTAAATAGCTAAGTGCAGAATCCCAGGTAGATATAGACTTTCTGCTTAGCTCACGCCACATATCCCGTGTACATAGATGCATATATATCTTGATATAAAAAAAACTGGTGAAATCTCTTATTTCTTGTTTACATACTCCAAGGCAACGACAGTTTTGTGTCACATCTTGCTACTCAAACATCAAATCCCTCATCCGCTCTAGACTCCGTAGTCGAATACTGTTTTGTCACTATATACACATGCTCTCTAACTTTAAGTATATGCAAACTCATTAACTAAGTACCTACAATAAATTCACATCCGAACGGGATAAACAAGACGAAAATCCCGAAATTGGGATTAGATAAAAATGATATACAATTTTTCTCCGAGAACATGGAAGCGCGTTTCCGGACTACCCTCTTATCAATACCGTTCGGTGCTGAATTACCTCTTGTTTGTTTCAGTGTACATACGCAATCTTAATAACCACCAATATATAGTATATATAATTCCATGTTCTACAGTGTCGAATCGTGATTTATGAAAGCAGATCCACGATGAGGCGGTATGCGTCCATAAATCAGCGGTTGATGTGTTCAGTTAATCCTTAATTAACCGACACTTAATGCCCAATATATCACGGATGATCGGATGCATACGGGGCGAAATGGTCCCCGCAGACTGGTGGATTCCCGTGGAACCCTGGAATGCATCCGACCATGCGCTGATTTCAACAGCTGATGCGTAAAATATTTTGGCCAAAGCCCCGTCGAATCCGACTGTATATTTATTTAGAAAAAAACAAGATCTACCCAACGTGTACAAGCAACTAGTACTGCAACGTTTACCTTCTCCAAAGTGGAGAATTCCATTGTACATACCTACTTAACTGTTGTACTGTCTAATTGGTTTTGCGCCACCTAGGCCCAGTTCAAATTAAATATACATACGTATGTAGAACACGCCTCGCATGTTCCACTTTTACTTGGGACGATTAGATTAGACGAAAAAAAAAGTTTTTAAAAACCCGCGCACAAACATCGCTTTACAAAATTTCTTCCTTAGACGAACAAACAAATATGTGTATTTTTTCTACTCCGTACAGTTTGTTAATTAGTATTTGGCAAATGCCCACGCACAAATCACTATATTTTTGGGTGATAACCTAACCACGACACACTAAAAACAGATACACAAAAACACTAATACGCACAAAACCATTTAAATAGTTTTATCTTTTTTCGTTGGTTACCAAAAAATGATCAGAAAAATTATGTTCATTACAATTACTGTAAAAATGGTTGAAACGATACGTTTTTGTTTAGCATTTGGCTTCTCTTATGTACTATACTATAAACCGTACTATGGGCAAATTTAAATTGGATCTTTGTTGCTTTTGTTTTTTTCCTATTTTTTCTTGTGATAGAGCAAATCGACTAACATAGCTTAAAAGATTTATATCGATTGTTATTTACAACTAAACTAACCAATGAAACTACCGCCACTTGTATGTATGTAATTCTCTAACTACTACCTACTTACTACCTTCAACTGCGCCTAGCCACATACTACTGCACTACTACTACTTCACCTAATACTACCTACTCTTACTAACTACTTACTGCCTACACCACTAACTACTAACGGAACGAGCTACTAATCGATACTAATTCAAATAGTTTAGATTGAAATGCATCGAATCACGTAGATCGATGGCGACGATCATAGTTCCCTGAGATCCCCGAGCTCCCAGAGTTCCTTGAATCCGTATGTTAAGACGGAAACGTTAACCAGTCTAATGCCAATTTCCTTATACATTCTGTTTTCTCTCTCTCCTCTTTTTTGTTTCTTCGACTCCATTCTCTCTTCCTTTGGTTTTGGCCAATAATATTTTACAGTCGAACTCAATCAACGTCGGCTTCCTGCGTTTATTTCGTGCGGCGCGTCTTATCAAATTACTTCGTCAAGGATACACAATACGAATTCTTCTATGGACATTTGTACAATCATTTAAAGCACTTCCCTATGTCTGTTTGCTTATAGCAATGCTATTTTTTATATACGCCATAATCGGCATGCAGGTAAGTCAAATTCGGAATCCTGAAAAATGGAAAAAAAAACACTTGTAGAATCAAGAGTGGTTTAAATACGCTAGGGTAAACAGTTTGTAAAAGACATTGGTAAGGAGGGGGTTGCGCATTATCCATAGACTCCAAGCTGCAAAGGGGCAAATTCTGGTGGTTTAAAAAAATCAAAATATCATTTAGAATAAGTAAATAGCTTTCTTGTTTGGTTTCGCATTATATATCGTAACTTTGGAAATAGCCTTAGCCTAGCTTAGTTTATCACAGAAAAGGATATTGGTTTTCCTAACAATCATGAATGCTGGACCAATTTAATGCCTATTCAATTCAATTATAATGTTTACATCAAACAAAAAGGTTTTCGGCAACATAAAGTATGATCCGGACACGCAACTCAACCGCCACAATAACTTCCAGTCGTTCTCCGGTGGAATTATGCTGCTCTTTCGGTAAACGAGAAAAGTAACCTAGTTAGCAATAGTAATTCCATAGCGATTACCCAAAAAGCTGGCACAACAGTCACCTATACTCAACATTAAACGTAGTCATTTGTCGAGTCATACTTATAATTCGAACTTATCCCACGATCGTGGATTCGTACGGTGTAATTAAATACTAGAGGGAATCCGCTGTGGTCAACTTCCTTAACTCTATAAAAACGCATTTATTGTAATCATCAATCCATAGTCTGTTTAAATTGAAAAATGTAAAGCTAATGCAAATTCGCTATCAATCAAGGAAACAGTGTTATGCCATTCAAAGTTGTTTGATCTGTATTGTTTGAAGTTGAGACTTGTGACTTTAGCATACTCGTATGCTAATGGTAGCTTTGATTTTTCAATCGTTTCTATCACCAGTCGAATGTGAATGTAGCTTACCCATAGCACATTTTGATTTAATGTTGTACATAATTGCGTTAGTTAAACAAGTTATTTTCCCTTAAATGTTTGTGTTTTTGATATGAAACCAAAAGTTGAAAAATTTTACTGACTTCAGGCTTTGCTGCTTCCCGAATCTAGGCAATAGAACATCAAAAAAATAATCTCGTAGGAAATTTTGTATGAAATTCTTATTTCTAGGTACGATTTTTTTATTTGTATCAAAATTGTATTTACAAGTGTGCAGATAAAAAGAAAGAGTATTTTTATTTAGGCAAGCCAAATTTCGTAAATACAAAAGAAATTGGACAGAAATTTCTAACAACTTAATACAAGAAATTGTTTTTTATTTGAATGCAGTCATTATTGTTTGCTTTTTCATTATCTATCTTTATTTTCCTATATAGTATAATGAGAAGAGTATATAGCACAAAATAAAACTTAATTTATATAACCAATAAATTCGTCTAGTTAGCCTGCTAATTACCAAAGTCCTATTATTGTGATTAGTTGATTCATGAGCTATTGAGAAAATGAAATAAGTGTTTATTGTTTCAATGTTGACTGTCATAGAATTTTAGATGTGCAATTCCCAAACTATCAATTCACACACCTACACAACAACATGGACTTTGCGGATAGGGGGAAGTCGGCACACATTCTATATATTCCCGATTTGATATCGTCCCTACCAACTCACACATGGATTTGCCATTTAATCGCCAGGAATCGCGGGTTTTTCGTTAATATTCAGTAGTGACAGCATTGTGAAGAATAATTAAATATTAAAAATGAGGTGGAGGTGATTCTGTGTAATGTGAAATAACGAATATACCTTGACCATTTCAGTTTCCAAATAAAAATGATAAAATAATCAATGCATTCTTTACCGATATTTGAATCGTGAATAGGTGTTCGGGAATATCAAACTAGGTACGGTGGAAAATTCCATTACTAGACACAACAACTTCCAATCATTTATTCAAGGCGTCATGTTGCTCTTCAGGTACGTAACTCCTAGATCTCTCCAGTACCATGTACTGTTATTATCCAATAAAAAGTTTCGACTCTCAGTAATTAAGTTCATAGTTATACATATAATACAAGTTAGCATAATTTAACTATACCACTATCCATATGTTCTCAATGATAGAATTTGTTCCAGTCGCGATTTTATATTTTATAAATAACAAAATAGTACATTAATAGCCTAGCGATAGGGTCTTCTAAAAGGTGGGTAGCACCTTGAAAGTGAAAAGCCCTAGCCACACAACTTTATATGTCAGATAGATGATTAGACTTTAGTAGCATTAATGGGACTTTCAAACTGTAGCTCATTCTTGGTTTCTTTTCCAAATAACTACCCATTAATATCGAAGCCATATAGAAGATCTAGAAATTAGACTGACTCCCCTAGCATATATATATATATAATCTATATTGGTTTTTAGTAAGATGTAATACAACTTTTTTTCGAGGTTCTCCAAGCTGATCACGGATCAATCGGATTTGTGACAACCATTTAAGCGGTGGTAAATCCATAACTACAACTTAAAACAATCAATATAAAACAACCCAGATCTCAGACCAATTTCATTACATACATTCGTTTTGCGTAACAACAATTACAGTTTTTGATACCTGTGTAAGTAGATTGAGTTCTAGAATTGCGACACTGATTCAACAAAGCTGGAATATACGTATATATATGTAATATCTATGTATTTTAAAACCTGTAGAGCTAAATATATTTAAAAAAAACTAAATTTGAGCGCAGCTTGATTTTTCGAAGTTTGCACTTTTCGTTGTTGCAGTTAATCAGTTGAGATTTAAATGAAAGTTTAATAGTTTTTCAGTATTGCTGGTAATTTACGTTATAGCTATATATACATACATACAAATATAGTTGTTATATACTCGTACGTCGCAAAACGAATTGCCCTCCCCTACTTATATATTTATCTATTTTTACATATATATACTGATAGTAAAGTTAATAGAACTCTCGATTGACGTATGTCTGTATGAAAATCATATCATAATTTATCATTTAACTAGCTACACACGAACTTGAGTATAGAACTCCTGTACACTATAAATTTAAGTATAAAAAGTCTGTAAAAAACCGATGCTGCCAATTGGTCTAAATATCCGTTTGTCCTTCCGCCAACTTACGCCAACTGGCAACCCTAAGTATTTTAAAATCGTAGCTTAGTCAGTATGTAAATCTATCTATATAGTGTATACAGAAAAGAATAACTTCAGTCAGAATTTTCGAAATCATTTCATTCCCAAATTGTTTTTGTTTCTAAAATGTTAATATTATTCAGTGGCTTTAATTTATAGCTTATAACTAAAGTATTATTAATACAATTTAGTTTAAAAATAATTTAATGGTAATCTTATGCGATCAATATATTTCGGGGACTGAAAATAGTAATTATGCTAATTAATTTTCTTAAATATACTTATGGAGATTCCCGATATATTTTGATATGTCCAAGTTTAGAATTTATAAACCATTTAGATATTGTGGACTTTTAATTTGGAAATAAAACGTAGACTTGATAGACGCTGGCCTTGCTTTAGAAACTGAACAATACTGACGACTGATAATCATACTTTGACCGTCATAGATAGAGTAAGCCTTACAACATACCTATAACATCATTCAGTCCTCGATTTACATATAACCCTGTACCCTGTATGTATATACAATTGACTGTAAATACATAGAACTTGGTTAGTAGTTGGGAAACGCCACACTCATAACGTGCATTTTCGTACCAAATAATCATCGTATAGAGTTACCTTATATACCATTTATGAACTAATCATAATTTGTGATTAATTATCTGTGTTATATACCACATAAATGCGAAACTGCAGGTGTGCAACGGGCGAGGCCTGGCCAAACATAATGCTGGCCTGCCTGAAGGGCAAGGCCTGCGACGAGGACGCCGAGAAGGCACCTGGAGAGTACTGCGGATCCACACTGGCCTACGCCTACTTCGTATCGTTTATATTCTTCTGCTCCTTCCTCATGCTGAATCTGTTCGTCGCCGTCATCATGGATAATTTTGATTATCTCACGAGGGACTCCAGCATATTGGGTGCTCATCACTTAGACGAATTTGTGCGCATATGGGCGGAATATGATCCAAATGCGACGTAATTATCTGTTTAATATATGTACATTGTACACCCCACATTACACACATTTCCTACTTCAATTTTAGTTTATATTTTTTATTTCTATAATTTCACTTTCATTTTCCGTCATTTAATCGAGGAAGTGCCAATGAGCTGGCTTTATATTAAACGATTATTATTTGGTCGTATTTGATTCATACTCGTTAGTAGGCTTTGTGCACAAGTTGAGCTTAAGTCCTTTCACTGAAAAAAGGATTGGGATTGGGGGAAATTCAATGACGAGCAGTTAATTTTTCTTTGGTTTTGCCATGCATGAGAAGCCTGACCAGTGATTAAACCACCAGGGGTTTTCCGATGTGTGCAATCTAATCTAATAGAATTTCGACTCATGCATGTTCTCGGCTCTGCCGATTAGACCAACACTGATTATAGCTGGCACTCACATTTTCTGAGGAGTAATGTGAGTGCCGGGCAACACTCGACTTTATTGATTTGATCCTTGTTTCGGACCTAACTTTTATTGTGTTCCCCGGATACATAGTGGAAAAATACACTACACGGAAATGTACGACATGCTGAAGAATATGGATCCACCGTTGGGATTTGGAAACAAGTGTCCCAATCGACTTGCCTACAAGAAACTCATACGAATGAATATGCCCCTGGACGACGAACTGAGAGTGCAGTTCACAACAACATTATTCGCTTTGATTCGGGAGAATCTCAGCATTAAAATGCGAGCGCGTACGTATTTGTGTTTAACAATAATGTATATCCTCTTGTGTTTATGTGTTGTGTGCAGATCATTAAGATATTGCTGTTTCAAAAGTTTGGATCTTTAGTGAACTCGGTAAAACCGATTTATTTGTATTTATATTTATCTCATTTGTATAAAAAATAACTCTCTTTTAAATATTGCATTTTTTGTGTTTTTTTACTAACTGTGCTGATGTTCAATTAAGAACTAGTCCGACTCGTTGTCGTCTTACTTGTGAGAAATTATACAAAATGCTAACCGGTCTGAGTAATATGCATATTTCGATCTAACCACCAGCTGAGGAGATGGACCAGGCGGACATGGAGCTACGGGAGACGATTACAAACATCTGGCCATTGCAGGCGAAGAAGATGCTCAATCTGTTGGTGCCGCCGAGCGATCAGCTCAACAAGGGCAAGCTCTCAGTGGGTAAAATCTATGCAGGTTTCCTCATCCTGGAGTCCTGGCGCAGCACGCGGTTCGGCCAACTCGATTCGGGAATGCCGGTAAGTCACTTAAAACCTCCGCCCAGCCCCTAACACAAACTACCGCACTACTCCAGTTGCATAGAGTCGAGGATATATATGAGTACGGGTCCTCCTGGACCGACTTTCCCAGTCAAGTTTCCCAGTTAGTTTCGATGATTCTATGTTTCTGTGAAAGATTGGACCCCTTCCAAGGTTCGACCCCTCGGAAATCTTTTGGCCTCAATCAATTCTCAGACATAGGCAGATATAATTTTGTTAATTTAACAATAAGTCTAAGCTTAAATTTAGACAACTGATTATACAAGTCCCTGTCCATCAACTACCTACCAGTCTCTTAAAAATGCAATGCACTTGAAAGAAACTGCTCTAAATTTTAGAAAATACCCAATTTATAGGCAAATATATTTCAGTAACAGGCTTTTTGGTTAAAAAAATGTATTCGGCTTAAAAAGTTTTTAATCGATCAAAGCTACACAATTTTACATAATTGATTTGATAAAATTATCCAAAAGTTTTGGGTGAAATAAGGGTGGGTGAAATAAGGTGAAATAAATAACAGGTTTTAAATTTGAATTATAATAAAGAATCGAATATAAAACTGCTATTTATACCGTCAATAAACATTGTTAAATGCAGAAAAATATTTTCATTATTATTAGGCTCCGCAATATTGCGGAGGGCGGTTTTGATTTTTCGGCTTCTCTACCACTAGCAATATACATACAACTAAGCAACACCAAATACAACAAATTCTATAAAATCTGTATAACATGGAATAAATATGTGATATTATGATTTTTCTTCTCATACGATTGAAAATGAACTCTCTCATTGAATAACAACCAATAAAAAAACAAAAAATGTAATCAAATTAAACGAGAAAAAATATGCAGAACTGGAAGGAGGTATATAATTAATTTTATATGCAACCTCATGTTTATCACATTTGTACATACAATATACCCTATATATTGCGCACATACATGCCCGTTTGTATGCGGTAAAAAGAAAACCCAAACCTTAGTAATAAACACTCGCATTTATATAACCACATATATTACGCATACGTAACGTATGTATACAATAATATTACGCATACGTAACGTATGTATTTAATAAGCTGCCCATAATTGGCAAAAAAATAACAGGGGTCCCATATCAGATCAGATCGAAAAAATAGAAAAAAAAACCTCTAACACTTCAAAATGAAATTACTTATGGGCAGTGTGCGGGAGATCAGGGGCGGATCCATGTGAGGAATGTTGGTTGATATTATTACTGCGAAAATCCTTGTATCTGCCCTTGTGTTGTGGGATGCATTATTTTCTCGAGCAGCCAAGTCGATAGAAATATATCTAAATCGGGAGCAGAAAATCTTGCAACCCAGTAGGGATTACTGTATGACTCGTGTAATGAGCAATGGATTTACCGTTCAGTAGAAGTCGAGTTACCTTAAGTAATTACTTACATATACCTATATATCGGTAGAGTTGACCAGTTCGTATTTTGATTCTCCAGTTTGCGATTGTATTTTCGTTCTAAGTAGATACGACCAAATCAGATAAACACAAGTTATATAAATTGATTTTTAGATACTTATAGAGGTTTGCCATTTGATTTTACACAACGATAACACCAAACCAAAAAAATGTCGACTCATTCGAACTTAAGAGTCAGATTGCGGGAAAATTGGGACAAATCCAGGGATATCCACACACATCCACATGCTCTTCACATCTGCTCACTTTTAGGTTCGCACTTCTGATGTGCAGTTAAACTTGAGATTTTTTAACTGGACCTTTTAAGAGCGGACCTACGTGGGTTAAATACACACACGTACTGAAGTAATTAATTAAAATGTTTTATCTGTTATCCTGTTTTTGTGCACAATACACAAACGATCAATTGACAACTCAAAATTGAAAATTAAAAATCTATGATTAACATGTTGTTTAATGAACATGATAAATGATCAATGATAGCGGAAGAAGCCGGAAGACGATGATGCGCATAAATATAGCCCGACGGCAGTCGAGGAGCCGGTATATAATATACTTCCATATGTATACCTATCTATCTTTCGCTTGGTTTTTCTTTCGCCTTTTTGAAAAAAGCTCCTCCTCTTCCACATGTTTTGCGTCTACTACTTTTGTACAACTTTTCACCATTCTCGGCTAGAGGCATGTTTATATACTCGTACTCGCCTAAGAGTATTAATATATCTAGGAAACCAACATAAAAGCCTGCCCACCCATAAAAAAATAAATTAGAAAAAAAGTGCAACCAAAATCCAGTACGAAAACACACCCAAAAACCTATTATTATCCAGCTGTAGATGAACACCCAACTGCAATGCTACGGTCATGTTTCGCTTAACACACCCACTAGCCAACCACACTTTTGTTTCCATAGAAGAGTGTGCACGCCCCGCAAATTTCGGGTAATTCCCTCTGGTTTGGGTTGCTCTACAGGATCCAATTTTTTTCAAATGTGTGTATTGAAGTGTACCAGGTGCCATAAAATTAGGTTATTTGAATATCAAAAAATACAGAAGCATTCGGCAGTTAAATGTCTTGACTATAAGTATATCTGCAATAAGTACTTAAATGTAAATTTTGATGCCTAAGCATTCAGGTATCCTTCCATCATGAGCATTTCTACATGTAAACTAGCACGCAAAACTACTTCTTTAGTGTAAGTCAAATGTATTCAACGTCAAGATCGTCAGAAAACAATTTATAAAGTTTTCTGATTTTGAAAAATAAAAGAATGTATTTCTGGTTCTTCTGTGGATACAAACTTATTAAGGCATATTGGAAATTTACTCTTAGAAAAAAATGTTTCTTGATTTTAGTCCATTGACTTAAAATTACAGAACAATGGACTAAAAACTGTCAAGCATGGCTATACGAGGAATTAAAAATGTGCCTCCAATATATGTATATTTAAGGACCTAAATCGACTAAAAGTAGGTACAAGGTTATATAGCAGTCCATACGGATTATAAATGGGTTTAATTGTATAAATATATATCAGAGAAAAACTTTTAAGTCCATGTATAGCTTTGTTTAACCAATGTTAGTCCATTGATCAATTTTCAATTTTTTTCTGTTTGTACTCTTTGATACCTTTTTGAGCTGGCGCTTAACAGTAAAACTCAAACGGCAACGTGCTACACATTTATCTCAAATTAGTTATTAAATAATTCCTTGAAACAAATTTATCGTTATATTTCACATGAAGTTTATAAAAAGGTGACTTGCCATGAATATAACAAGTCAAACAGATTTTAAATTTTAACGGAAATATTATTGTTTAGGGCCCGAGGAGTTTAATAATAATTTTTAAATTGTGGGACTACCAAGTCCTTGTGTGTTGATGCATTGAAAGTGATTGTCATTTAGTTTACTACACATTTTAGTGGCTCCTTTTTTAAATATCGCACTGTTTATTAAGTATGGATCGGTCTGTTGCACTAAACCACAGGACTGCATTTTTATATACCGAGTTAAATATACATATAATTAACGATTAGTAAAATAACTATAGAATGATCTTAAAATGTAAATATTGAAATTTGGATAGACTGAACAAATCATAAATGTTTTAAATTTACGAAATCATATGATCAGGAAAACTTTAATAATATCAGGCAAATGTCCTATATTTAACATTTTCGTTTACAAGTCGACTTGGTAGTGAATTTCCCATAATCTTTACTGCTGAATAGGCATGCTTAAGATAACCAAGCGATCGGATCAACGTGAAGACAGTTTTTAAACAATTCAAAAAGATAGCATGAAAGATAATAATGAAATCGGTAAAAATTTGTTATGCTTATATGCCAATATGACACTGCGCTAAGGCTTAAACAAGAGATAGGGATAAAGTTTCTTAGAAACAGGATTTGTTTATTGTTTTTCATCTCTGAATTTAGGAATAAAATGTTTTCAATCCTTTCTTTAAATAAATAAAATTTAATTTTAGTTAACATAAAATGGAATACTGGAAAAAGCAACATATTTTTTAAATGAATAAATGATAATTTATAAGCCATAGCTGGACACTATTTTATATTACAAACTTACAGTTTTAGGAAAGGGGACCTATGTAAGAATTTTTGATAAATTACACTACAATGTCCCCTTTTTTTAATCCAATGTCATATGGGTATTTAAGATTATAACTAATTTAGTAGTGACATTTAAATGCCATACATGTATAAGTTTCCTTTTTATTTTTGACACCATGTTTTAAGTTCCTATTAATCTCAATAGAAAAACTTAAATAAATTTCGTACTCACTTGTTTTGTTGACCATTTCTCCAAATTGGCACATAATAAAAATAAAAATATTAAAAACAATTGTAACAATTTTGTCTTATAGCGGTACCTCTTAGATTTTCTTTAAATCATAGTGAGTTGTAAAAATGTTTGCGCATGCTTTTACCGTATTAAGCAAGCCTCTCTTTTAAGCTATTTTTGAAATCTTAAGCGAAAGCATCTCTTATACATTGCCTCCTTTATACCCACATAATACCGACACAATCCGAATAGAGCTTGACACATCTCGAAATGCTATATACTACTACCATACCTAAATGTAAAGATATTAAGCAGGGGCTTTTGCCCCATTATTAATAATCGTACATATGTATAAACCAATATATACTATGCATATGTACATATATGCGATAATAACAATACTTTTGATTATTATTTTTGTTCTGTAATCTACTCATACTTTTTAATTATTCTATAATAATTCTTACATTCCATTTTCAATGCTTAATACAAAAAACAAAAAAAATATCAAAACAAAAACCAATCCCAATGCGTTGCAATGTTACTACATCAATATTCACCACTCACCCAACTTTAACCACAACTGTGTCTACAATAAACAACAACTTAATTGAATTGCAACACTATCTGAAATCTGTATTTCTACAATTAAAAAACTACAACCTAACTAAAAACCAAAACACGAAAAAAATATTCATGCAAACGAACTACAACGAACAAAACGAAACCAAAACTAAAACTAAAACGAAACGGAATGGCAATTGAAAAACTAAAAATAAAATCAAAACCACTGCACTTTCCTGTCTACTGTTTACTACTATCGACTACCAACCAAAAACAAAATCCGTAGAAACAATCATTCTTTAACTGCCTACTCGATATGGCCGCCCTTGACAAAGGAGGATCGCGACAGGGCTCCATAAGTTTCGAGCCGAATGGGGAAGGAGCCGCCAACTCACAAACACATTTGTTAGCCAGCACGCACCACCACCACGCAAACGGTGATGCCGAACACAACAGTTTGGCCACTCTAGCACGGCGGAGTACGATCAGAAAGCGATCAGTTAGGTAATTTAAAACAGCTTCAATCTTAACTTTAGTCCGTAAAGTGCAAGAATCATCTCCATTGCCACATTACCATCATAAGCACATTAAGGTCATCGATCCACCTCCATTTCGTTCATTCGTTCATCATAAGTGGGCATCAGATTAAATGCATAGCAGTATTCTTAACATTAAAATTAAATGTAATTTTGAACTTTATTAAGCATAATTTATACTGAATCAAAGATCGCGAGAAATCGAATGTTTAGAATACGCTTTTGCATATAAGACTATGTCAGTGCATAAGACCAGAGGAGAAGATACACATGAAAATAATTCTTTAAAATAGTATTTAGCTTAATGACCTTATGATGACTCGTTCCAGCAATATATATTTCGCTTTGCACAAAAAAGTATGCTATAATATCTTCAGCAGTATCTACCTATTTCCAAAAGCAATGTGAACAAGTCAGCCAGCGAGGCTTTGTTTTAATTTAAATTTCCAAGCTTTATGCATTTCATATCGTCTCAAGATCAATGACAAAAAATTTAAGTTATCGAAACCGCGTTAGCTGTTTGTCTATAGATCCAAAAAAAATAATAATAATAATAATTTTTTTTTACGATTTTTAAGCCAAGACTTGAAGAAAATCGATTAATTGTATTATATTTAGTCTGTATTCACTCTGATCGTGAAGAACCACAACATACATTTACATACATGCATAAAGAAAGTATTCGTTTCACAACATTATCAAAATACAATTACTACTAACAAAACCTACAAAACACAATTAGCAACTAACTACAAGATCTTTTGTGCATTTGTGCAATTTCAACATTGACATAAGTAAATTGTTTTTCTTCTAATTTTTAAATATTTCAGAAACAAAAAGGTGAATAAGTTTGATAAACTCCAAGCGGTAAACCAAAATGAAATTATCAACAAATTTTACTAATCAAAAATAATAATTAATTGTGTATTATATAAATATATATGTGAATACTCTTTGTGCCCATACTCCGTTTCCGATATAAATGTTGTTCACAAACCGATTAAGTCAAGTAATCTACTAGTACCTTTAAATACATACTCACTCATAAGTATATGTATAGCTGTACGCGCCAATGTGCGACGTATCTATGACTATGTAAAGAATGAATACAATATAATATGCCAGATTACCGGGTGCTGAGCTCCAAGCATAAATATATAAATACATACATCATATATACATGCGCACATGTGTGTACTGCGTATTCAACCTACTATAAATCTTTAATTTGCGTTTACTCAATAGTGCAATAAATACTCGTACCTAAATGTTGCATAGCAATTTTAAAAAAACATTAGAAACGCAAAACTTGGCTTAGTACTCGTACTCGTACTCAATGTTGTAATTTGATCGTTTCTATAACCACTAAATGTACTCCTATGTACGTAGGCGTTCGATTCCTGGACAAGTTGAGAGTGGCAACGAACAGTGGACGGAAATGCTCTGGCAAAGCTTCAGCTCCACTCAACCCGAACAACTCTCAGTCCGATCCGATCCCCCCATCCGATCCCATTTTTCAATCCTGCCAGTGCATGGAGGACCAGAATCTAATAAATTCGATTGTGAAGACTGCATTTTAATTTCGATTCGCTTTATTGATAAGTAAAATAACGTCATACTTTCCAAATTGTAAACTTGTCCTCTGTGCAATTAACTTTTTTAAGTCGTTAAGTTGACAGAACAGGCCTCTTTGATTCAAGCAGGTTGACTTGTAGTTTTTAAAAGCGGACTTGCAATTATTTCTCCCTCAATGATTGTGCGCTTCCATACACCAATTAGTTTGCCAGGCCCTTTTGAGATAAAAAGCGTAAGCATTGGCATAAGCAAGAACGTCGTTTGATTTCACGTACATCATGCCAGCATTGTTAGATTTTTCACCAATCCCAGTACAATTGCGACCTAGCATACCGAGACACCTTCATGTTACACAAAAAACCAGGGAATTCTTACTTACAGATCAAGTCGTCTCTTACGACGCCTCTGTCACATTAATCGCTTATTCAATTCGCATCAGACATGCCAGCTATGTGAAACCAGTTGGCGGTTCTAACTCTGTTCCCACTCACAGCCTCTTGGGCAAGGTCCGATAACCCCGAGTTCAATCAGACAGAAAAAACAAGACTGTTCTGGTTTTCACTTCTTTTTTTTGCCATCTTCCATGCTACGGAAACTTAAGTTAAAGCCCGAAAGTGAAAGCCGGAAAAGATTTGATAGACTTTTCTACGTACACATAAAGCCATTCGCAGAGAGGTAGGAGGTAGTAAGCAAACACGAGCTCTAGGCTTATGACAAATTTATGTTTTCGGATTTATCGCCCCGAATATTGTAAATTTATACTTGAAATTTCTTCCATGCAATAGTTACGTGGAGATAGTTAATTTGTTTCTCTCAAGGCCATTTCCAATGACTTGTAACATTACTAGAAAGGTGCTTTTTCTCTTAGAGATAAAGCTACCCACTTAACACACGATTTGTAATTTGGACACCTTTTGTACTCCCGACACTGCTAATCACTAATATAATGGTATAGAGTTAAAGTGGACCGAAAAGCTATCTGTTGCCCAAGTCTGATTCTTGATTTTTAGCGAGTTATCCCTCTAGTTTCACATATAAAGGCGGCTTTATGTGTAGGTAGTAATTGTTTTCGAATTCGATTTGAATGTAATAAGTATTAAGTTTTGGTATTTGAATGTTATTCGTTAGTCCAATCACGAATGCGAAACGGTTTGTGTACGGTAAGTAAGTTCGTTGGTCTCGTTAAGCAAGAGCAATTGGAAAAGGACTCAGGACCTGACCACAAACCATTACAACCCACCATTACACTATACATTTATCCAATTAAATTGCTCAAGTAGTGCATGCTTAGCTTTTATTGTTCCGCCTTGTTGTTTTTGAAAACGTATCACTGCTTTGCCAAATAAGTAGACGCTATTAGATCACACGCATGTTAAAATCCTTCTTAAATTGTAGATATCGTGTAGAGAGAAATCTAGCTAAATCTTCTCTTTCTAGATGCAAAGATCGATTAATACTTAATTGTTATTCTTTCGTATTTTGTGTTCAACTTTTTTTTACTACATCATCATAAATATAGGACAATAACCCAAAAAAAATAACGTAGATTAAAACAAATAAGAATCAATTGGCGTAATAAGTAACGCAATATGGCAATCATATCATTCCCAAAATGACCTCAAGTATGAGAAGACATCCAGTTAATTATAAAAGTACCCGAAACAAATTATTGACAGAAAGTGAACAAGTATATATATGTATATGTATACTCCCGAGTAGTGTATGGAATCCTTAAATGTTACATGCCCTAAAATAGGTTAATCAAAACTACAATCCAATATAATCCCGCATTAAAGAACCCCTCTATACATCTAGTACAATTAAAACGCATTTGAATATGTATTTTGTTGCAGTGGAGTAATGATTGCTTTTGTTTACTTTTATATACCGTATACGTATACCCCTTAAATATATCCCGCAAAGTAAGCATACATGTCTCTATGTATATTTATTTTGTAGCATTTTACCAAGTACAAACATATATACATACCTATTGCCTACGCTCCATTATGGGGCATTGGACATCTATAGTTCTTAATTTATAAATACACAGATATATTTAAATAAACGAATACGTGCAATGAATGAATCCACAAGAAATCGGTCTAGAGGAATCAGAAATCCCAAATCCAAAATCGAAATTCTGTACACTGACAAAACATACGTATGTAGTAATTTATTCAATTAGAGTCGATTCGGACATCTGGAAGTGCTTCGCGAATTCCAATCCACCTTAACCTGAATCTCAACCCAACCCGGAACTAAATCTTAGTTCTCACTCTTTTTGGACTGATTTCGAGTGGTGGCATTCATGGTGATCTGTCAAGCTTATTAAATCGTCTCATTACCATCTTCCGAACTAGATGCTGGAGCTACAGGACGCTTCGAGACATCCCTCGCAGGAATCACTTACCGGTGCCGATGCTGGCCATTTACATCCTGGACATTCGTATATGAATGGTCACCGGCGATCGCCTAGCTTGAGGTAAGAAATGTTTAAAAAGTAAATAAACAAAATTGGAAACAATAAACATTCGCATTACTTTCCCGCAGGCACAACGGCTCTCCACTGGCCAGATCTCCAAGTCCTCGACGGCGTGGCCATCAATACATACATCATGATATCGGGTTCTCCGATACCGTATCTAATGTTGTAGAGATGGTCAAAGAGACTCGTCATCCTAGGCATGGCAACAGTCATCCGCGGTATCCAAGAGGTATTTATTGGCTCGACACACTACTAAACTACATAAACTGACTGACTTTTGTGTGTGTGTGTGCTAGTTGTAAGCCCCATTGATTTGGTTAGGGAACCTTCAACATAATAATCCCATATTTGCTTTGTCTGTACCCATCCGATGTTACCCTCAATCACCCATGTACTGTGTATTCGTATTGAATGGGCTTGCAATCTAAGCGCACATAACCAGGAACTTGGGAATACCAAGGATTTTTGATCTATTTTGTAGAATCGTAGTTACATACATATATATATGTCTACAATTCCATAGCTATTAACGAAATCTTTTAATACAATATAATATATTCCAATAATAATATTTTTATTTCGGTTAAGTCGTCGGTCTTTTTTTGTTTATTATCTCTTCAAATTCAAAAACAAACTAAACAAGATCCAAAACAAAACAAAAATAAAAAAAATGATAATGATAATCAAATATGTTGCTAAAATCAAATACGTAAAATGTTGTGCCCCGACATCCTTAATTATTACTTTTTTATTATTGTTGTTATATGTACAATATAGGTTCATGGTCAGCATCGACAAGTCCGGCCCGTTCGCCTTCGCCTTCTCGATATGGTGGTCATTTGTCTCGCAGTAAACGCACTCAACTGCCTTATCCCACATATGGGACAACCAGTCTATGTCAAAGATCACGATCGCCGAGTCCCGCTAGACTTCAGGAGATGCGTGAACGAGACAGACTTGGTTATGGGATTGATATGGGTACATCCTTAGCACTTGTTATCTAAAGTCCAACAAGATCAATCAACTTAAACAAACTCAAACAACTACTCAACTTGTTTTCTATATATGCTAGTATTTTCTTCTACACAAATTTCAACTTCAACCATTTCAACTTTAACAAACATCAAAGATCAGACATGCTTACTCGTAACTCGTAACTCGTAACTAACTTGTATTCGTACATAGTCGCCAACCATGCTTAACATGTACAAGTATTGTCATGCCAAGGCGTTCAATCAGAAAAACAGTCAATCATAAGCTTGAACTAATTGAATAGTTCTATACTTATCATTCATCCCATACAATCACAGCTCACGGCTCTCAAATCATTCAGATCTCCGATCTACCACACCGAAGAATTCAATTCATAAATATGTGCTCAACTATTCGTACTTGTACTTGTACTCTTGTTACACTAGCAGCGTTTATTGTTTTCATTTCTCTAGATGCCATCCTCGTACCATCCAATCCACCTATATTATAATCACATCTCGTATGTATGGTACTGACATGTACAGACATTCACCCTCATCCTTAAACTACCTTAACTACACTGAGTCTCTGGCAAATGAACTGTATTTTCTAAAAATTTATGATGGTAAGAAGACATGCATATGAGAGAAGGTTTGAAGACTACTTTCGACGGACTCGAATTTAGGTTAGGAGAAAAGCTAGTGTTTGTACTGGTCATTTTCAAGCAATTCAAACAATTAAAGTTAGAAGAAACGCAATGCAGGGGTGAGATAAGTGAACATCATTTCCTAGTCCATCCACCCCTCCCCAAGAAGGTGAAGTTCGTAAGCCACAGTCGTAGAAGTTTTTTTATTTCAAATCGACCTCTGTCAGCCTGACCACTGACCAAGAATCTCTATTTTAAGCTTGCTTCTTGTTCCAAGTAACACCCATTAAGTCCAGCCACTATGCCAAAGATAAACAGGCAATATCATGATTCAAGTACTATATTGTTTTGTATACGAGTTTTTTTGGTGGACGGGGAATTCGACTGAGCTAATTGTTTACCAGAGGAATACGTTGGGATGCAGCTTTTGGGTGTTTCAGTATCTAGACGTGTGTGCATATTTATCTATCTTATCTATCTGTGAATGTGCGTCAATAGTATTCTGCACCGATTCCTAATCAATAACCATCCCTTTCGTTTCTGCATAACTACGGTATCTGTAGTTCAAATCGAACAGTCATGCATGTTGCCATGAACAATTTAACTGCCGACCGGCCATTCCCCAAATCATCCAACTACTTGTGTACTATATATTTCTCTCAATACATTATATAGCACTCTTGTTACTGTTCTGTACTTTAACTATTTACCCTTGCAGAGGGTGTTATCATTTTGTTACTTTTCCAAGTTGTTTGTTCTGTACGGTGCTCAAGTAATTGCACACGCTTATCAACGTAGATACAGTGAATGCATTTTTTGCATAGCAACAATTGTTTTTAACATCATAGAAGTTTAGTACAATGGGTTCTGACTGGGACATGTTCACTTTTTCTACGATACAATTATTATTTGATTTAATATAACAAAATGTTTCACGAAGAATGTGCAGTTATTTTTAATTTGGTTTTTGAAGAGAATATATAAACACTACATGCTTTCTATATACATTTTTAATTCTCTGTTTCTAGAAGTTAAGCACTTTCAAATTGCGAAACTCGCACAATGTAATTTTACAGAAAATATGAATACAAAATAATTAAATCTCTGTCCGATTGTCTTAAAACACTAGTGGGTTAAACTAAACGAACATGTCCCATTCTGTTCTACATATGTTTCATATATTTGTATGTATGTTTTAAGCATTGTCTATGTTAATGTCAGTGAAGAACTATATGCAGGTACACTTTGTTTAGTATCATAACAGCAGAGTATTTTTGCAACGATTTATGCCCTCAAACACCCGTTTAGCGCGCAGGGAAATAATTCTCTCGATTCCCGCAGGTGTAACGCATGTACAACACAGTTACCCAACATTGGCATCCCGAAGAGCCGGAATCGGTAGACGCCTGCCTCCGACCCCAAGCAAGCCGTCAACACTGCAGCTCAAGCCAACAAATATCAATTTTCCCAAGCTGAATGCGAGTCCCACACATGTGAGATACAACAGGAAAATTTAAATATATAAGTAATTATTGAAATAACACATTACTTTCCCCGCTAGACACACCACTCAACGCCCCACAGTGTTCACTCGCTACCACACCACCGCGACCTGCTGCGAGATCCAAGGGACATGTACTACAGCAGTAGGGAACGCGAGCGGGATCGCGAACGCCTTAGGGATCGGGATCGTGAAAGGGATCGCGATCGGCTGCACGAGTACGACCTGCGCTACGAGTACAGGGATCGGGAGCGAGAGTTGTACGAGCGCGAAAGGGATCGCGAGCGGGAGGTCGAAAGAGAAAGGTATTTAAGGAATGTTTAATATTTTAAAGTATTTATAATCAAATCCATAATCCCTATCCACAGACTTGAATATATAGCACCGCTGTCATTCGAACAAGCGCTGGCTATGGGCCGAACAGGTCGTGTACTGCCATCACCAGTTCTAAATGGTTTTAAGCCAAAGAGCGGTCTGAACCCTCGACACTCCGATTCGGATGAGGAGGATTGGTGCTAGCAAAGGCTTTGATTGCGATCGCGTAATCGAAAGGATCAGATCTGGGTATAGCATCAGGCCATATGCTCCTCTTTGTCAGCACCAAACTTAGATCACAATTTTGATACGATACGACACAGATACCAGCCCGAACATCAGCAAACCCTTCCACAGACACACCTTTGCCCACAACCACACATACACCCACACCCACATCGAAGGTATGAAGCGAATGTATCGACACCGAAGCTAGGAACAAGTATATCTGATATCAAATTGGCTGGAGTAAGCTTACAGGAATTAAATCCGAATCGACAAGCGCAATCGCAACGGAAGCAGGAGCAACAATTGGAGGAGCATCAGCATCAGGATGGACGACTCGAGTGGCTCAGATGGTGCCGGTTGGGGCCATATCCCGAAACCCAATCCCCAGTGATGGCATCATTGCCCGAAACCAGAGCAACATCGCCCCAATCCGATATTGAATTCATGAGAAATAAAAATATAAAGAAAAAAGAAACCGGAACAATTGCAATAACACCAAAGACAACTAAAACTGAAGCAATGATATTAAGCGTACCAATTACAATAACGTCCCCATTAGCTATTAAAAAGATATATTCAGATAACGACATTAATTATAATACCGAAAGGGGTAACGATAATGATATTGGCAGAGTGAAGGAAGCGGAAGCATCAGGTCATTATTATCACCAGCCAGAACTAGCCACACCAGATTTACAACAGGAGCCACCACTGCAGCCAGATAACCAGCACTATCCGCAGTATTCGTATCATACGCTTTAAGGAGAATAAAATCAAGAACCAGAATCCAGTATTCAGTATCCAGTCTCCAGTGTCCAGATTCCAGAGTCCTTAATCGAGCATTCAGAATCCACAATCAAGAATCCGTTATCCAGATCCACTAAAAGTGCAACTTTAATTGAAACTGAAACTGACTAGAGGTGTAAAGAAAGTGAACGAGATTCTATTGCAGTATCAAGTATTGGGAGTAGGGAACCAGAGATATGTAAACAGATTAGAGCTACCATTTGCCTAGAAATAGGGGTAGAACACCTAATGTTAGATATGAATATGATCAAGTGTATTGTACTTTTTTTCTAATGTAAGATCGAGTCTAGCCGAAGAGCACATCAAAATGAAATCAATGATAACAGAACTCTTTCAAGCAGAACACATAGATCTAGGTCTAAGTACATAGGAAATATAAATTGTAGGAACTCGCATACATTGTAAGTTATATAGGACATAGCTCGAGAATCAGTAATCTGCAAGCGTTTTGGTCTTGTTTGTACTTAAAGTTAGTAATTGAATTATGTGTATTGCAAATGCGACTTTTATTTATTCTATGTACATACCAGATAATTGTAGATATCAAATTTTTGTATGTAAAATATTTACCCACGACTAATATTATAAAAACCTTCGACAAAAGAAACTCGGTAGCGAATATTAGCCGTAATAGCAACAAATGAGCGCATTTTAGTCCCCTACGATTTTGTATTCTGTTATGTGAAGTGTACTCAAGCAGATATTTTTTTTCGATTAAAAGAACTTCAGAGAACAGTGAAATTTTAATACGAAACCCAACTGCAACCAAATAACTCAATTATGACCAACAGTTTGTATCTGTAACATTAGCATTATCCAGTGCCGTGTGTGTACAGACTTTACAGACATTTTTTTCGAAAGAAACGTTGTATTCATAGTCTGTTTCTTCTGTTAATGTATTTCCGAAAGTCTTTCGTACGCTGAACTAAGCTCCTCTCAAACTTTCCGATCAAATGGATTTATAATTAGAAAACGAGAGCATTGGTTTTACAATCGAGCATCCTCAACATAAAACATGTGTAGATATAATACATACACCTCCGGCTCCTCATACTCGAACAGAATGTGTATAGTGTTGAAAAATGCTGAGCTCATGGCACATCAAACATAATATATTCAAATATACAAGTATTTGCATGCACACAGCCCCTTCAACTCACTGATAAAAATGCAGACATCTGTGTATAGATAGACGATCGTACATGTTGGACGACGGGATATCGAAGAGCGCACAATAATTGTAATTTAAAGAAATGAATCCATAACTTAAGTAAATAATTATAGCAGCTGAGCAGTAATGCGAATTTACACAGCAAATGAACTTAACATTACGATGACTAGAGTCGTATTATGCATACGAAGGTAAGAAAAACCATTTAGCAAGCGAAAAAATCAAGAACAACAAACTATAAACTAACCTAACTGGGTTGACTTATGCTATACATAACTGAGCAATACTGAATAGGGAAAACGACTAACCTAAAAGCGATAAACTAATACATACACTCAAAAAAAGGACGAAATCGCCATTGAATTTAGAACTTCGCCATACAAATATGTAAATTGGTACTACTTTGCCATAATTTAACAGAATTTTATATTTTTCAAACATACTGTTAATTGAATGCAAAAATGTTTTTCTAAAATATATAAATTTACTTAAAAAACCTAAAATACATTTTTTAACCTCAGGTACTTTGTTTTTTATTTAAACAGAAAAGTTGTTCCATTTTACGAGTGATGTTAGGTTTTTTTTTCGATTTCATCACGTTTTTAAAAATCTTCTAGCTTTTAATAAGAAGACTTGTAAATATATTTATTTCATTTTTCCTAATACAGGCATTTATAGTATAGGAAATAAACAATTATTTTTATAATTTAAGAAAACTTTTTTCGAAATACTCGTTTTTTATGAAAAACTTATTGTAAATTTAAAAATTCTTTTTAAATTTAAAACTTGTAATTTGATGGCGATTTTCAAAATGCTTGATAAAACATTTCGAGTGTGGGAAAGGAAACCGAGAAGCGTATTCTTAATTACGAATGCAGAGATTCATACATTCAAGATATATATACACACCTACATAGTTTATAACTAGTCTCAAATAAATACCGAATTCCATCGATAAGGGAAAACAAAGATCGCTGATATAAAAATTCACTCTCCAATTAATTGTAAACACAGCGCATTACCGAGTGCAGAGTGCTGTAGCACATTGTAATTCCGAAGTTCACTTTTGACTACTTCCAGTAAAAATTTGTCCACGTGGCGAATGTTTCAAGTCCTCAGTCTTAGGCTAAGATCCGATTTTGACTTTCGTTTGCACTGCTTGCTTAAACATTAGCATTCCAATTCAAATTCGAATTATTACTAGCGATATCCTCACACAAGTAGAGTTGTTGGAAGGGCAGCTTAGGGCTCATTAGCTCAATTACTACTACTGAATCATTGCCCCGATGCCAAAACTAAAAGTTATAAATAAATAAAAATAAAAACAAAACAAAACAAAAGAAACAAAACCAAAAACAAAACCAAAAAATAGAAATGAGTACAAAATATGAAGATAGTTTACTAATATCGTTTCGATATTAGATGTTTATCCAATCCATTATGCCTCTAGAGGAACTATTTAGTTATCTAATTATTGGCTACTTGACCATTTCAATTTGATTCGCTTTTACTGCACACAAACTTCGCTTTGTCCTTCGAATAGGCTCTCAAAACTCTCCCTCTGCCCACTTTAATCCTACTTGTACATTTTTACATACCTATATGGTTAGTTGTGGGAATGGTTAGTTAAGGTGGCAATTGCAGGGATAACCATCAACATCACTTTTCGGGGAAGAACAATTCGGGAACCACGTCCCGCCATTTACCAAACTAAATGTCAACGAGAAAAAAAAAAAACATGATTATATGTCAGTGCTGCGATCGATTGTTCTTCCAGATCCTTGCATTCTCTCTCACATATAGTTGTCATAGAAAGCATTATTTAATACTCCAGATCCAGGTCCAGATTCAGATCTGCATATATGCTTGAAGGCTCGGTACAAGTTCATCATATTCTAAAACTGGTATAAATGCAACCATGATTAAGTGCGTAGTAGGCCGCTGCCGAGCCAATCCTCAATTCCAACTGAGGTGACCCCGAAAGGTCCGCTCCTTGTGTTCCTCGTTTCATGTCGTAGGTGGCTTACTCTTTTTAAACACTACATTTAATACCTAACTTTACGATTCGATTGTATATTTTGTTATTTGTTTACTGTCTGGTGTGAACGGTTACATGAAAAAAAAACAAAACAAAAATGCGTATTTGTAAGTAGATCTGACTTTTTTTTACAAAGCAACCAAAATGTAGGATTTGAGAGGAGATAATATGCGAATAGAAAAGGAAATTAATAATAAAAATTAGTTTAAAATTAGAAAAATGTAACTGTTACGGCTAAAATGTAATGATAATACGTATACATAAATATATAAAAGGAAAAAATAATATATAAATATCTTAATTTAATGAGTAAAACAGTTAAAATAATAACTAAGATACGCTAGAGATAATTAAACTATATTTAATAATTATGTAATTATAAAGATGACTCGTAATTTATATACAAGATATACATACATAAACATATAATATAATAACATAAATACCTGCCTTCAACAAATTTGTTAATAAAACTATTAATACTTTCTTATTTTACATAAAGTAAAGGAATACCATAATAAAAAACAAGAAGAAAATAAATGTCAGAAAAATAACACAAAAAAATATGTCGTGCTTTATTTCAGAACTGCCACTGGGGATTGCTTGTTAGCTGTTCAAAACAGTCGGTTTAGCTGTCGGCCTTGATTTGTCGAAAATACGACTGAAAATAAGTTCATTTTTTGTCTAAAATTGGAATTCTTATTTTCCGTCCTAAAACATCCGTTGTTTTGCCGACACAAAGGAAATGTTTGCCCAAATATGGAATGTTATACATTTTTAAACTCATAGTTAAATTACGAATCGATTTGCGTTCAAATCTGGAAATTTTTAATTTTTGCCATTTTTCGCAAAAAATGATGATGGAAAATTGGGTCCAAAATTAATTTTCTCAAATCAGTCGGAAAGTGTGCTGATATTAATATTTAGGTTGTAAGCTGCACAAAACAGTGCGCCTTTTTGATTTGTGACCATTTTTGTCCAAGTTACAGCAAAAAATCCATTTAAGAAAAAACAAATTTTTACCAAAAATCGAGATCCTAATTTTTCACCCCGAAAACAATCAGAATTTTGTCTACAACAAAGAAAATAATGGTCCAAATATGGAATGTCATACATCGTTGAACTCGTAATAAAATTCCCAATTGGTTGGCATTTCAACCTGGAAATTTTTAATTTTTGCCATTTTTCGCAAAAAATGATGATGGTACCCCTTATCAAAAATGCGAAAATTGGGTCCAAAATTAATTTTCTCAAATCAGTCGGAAAGTGCGCTGATATTAATATTTAGGTTGTAAGCTGCACAAAACAGTGCGCCTTTTTGATTTGGGACCATTTTTGTCCAAGTTAAAGCAAAAAATCCATTTAAAAAAAAAAAAAATTTTTACCAAAAATCGAGATCCTAATTTTTTACCCCGAAAACAAACAGAATTTTGGCCAGAACAAAAAAAATAATGGTCCAAATATGGAATGTCATACATCGTTGAACTCGTGATAAAATTCCCAATTGGTTGGCATTTCAACCTGGAAATTTTTAATTTTTGCCATTTTTCGCAAAAAATGATGATGGTACCCCTTATCAAAAATGCGAGAATTGGGTCCAAAATTAATTTTCTCAAATCAGTCGGAAAGTGCGCTGATATTAATATTTAGGTTGTAAGCTGCACAAAACAGTGCGCCTTTTTGATTTGGGACCATTTTTGTCCAAGTTAAAGCAAAAAATCCATTTAAAAAAAAAACAAATTTTTACCAAAAATCGAGATCCTAATTTTTTACCCCGAAAACAAACAGAATTTTGGCCAGAACAAAAAAAATAATGGTCCAAATATGGAATGTCATACATCGTTGAACTCGTGATAAAATTCCCAATTGGTTGGCATTTCAACCTGGAAATTTTTAATTTTTGCCATTTTTCGCAAAAAATGATGATGGTATTTGCGGCATTTGCATCATGCGTGGGTTTGCACGCTTGCGGTGTTTGCATCAAGCGGCATTTGCATCATGCGTGGGTTTGCGTGGATGCGGCATTTGCATCATGCATGGGTTTGCACGCTTGCGGTATTTGCATCATGCAGCATTTGCATCATGCGCATTTTCATCATGCGTGGGTTTGCGTGGATGCGGTATTTGCATCATGCGGCATTTGCATCATGCGTGGGTTTGCGTGGATGCGGTATTTGCATCATGCGGCATTTGCATTATTGTAAATTGTAAATGGAGTTGTAGAATTGAAAGTGGAGTTGTAAATGTTGATGGAGAATTGGAAACGGAGTTGTAGATTTACAATTCAACAACTCAATTTACAATTCTACAACTCCATTTAAGTTGTAGAATTCCATTTCCATTTACAACTCCACTTCCAATTCTACAACTCCACTTCCAATTCTATAAGTGGAGTTGTAAATTTTGTTGTAGAATTGGAAAAGGAGTTATAGATTTACAATTCTACAACTCAATTTACAATTCTACAACTCCATTTACAACTCCATATCCAATTCTACAGGTGGAGTTGTAAATGTAGCTGTAGAATTGGAAGTGTAGTTGTAAATTCTACAGCTACATTTACAACTCCACTTGTAGAATTGAAAGTTTAGTTGTAAATGGGGTTGTAGAATTGGAAGTGGAGTTGTGAAATTGGAAGTGGAGTTGTAGAATTGGATATGGAGTTGTAGAATTGGAAAAGGAGTTGTAGATTTACAATTCTACAACTCAATTTACAATTCTACAAGTCCATTTACAACTCCATTTTCAATTCTACAACTCCATTTACAATACTACACTTCCATTCACAACTCCATTTCCAATTCTACAACTCAATTTACAATTCTACAAGTTCATTTAAAACTCCATTTCCAATTCTACAACTCTATTTTCAATTCTACAACTCCATTTACATTCCCACTTTCAATTCTACAACTCCATTAACAACTCCACTTGTAGAATTGGAAGTGGAGTTGTAAATGGAACTTTAGAATTGAAAGTGGAGTTGTAGAATTGGAAGTGGGGTTGTAAACTGAGTTGTAGAATTGGAAGTGTAGTATTGGAAATGGAGTTATAAATGGATGTGAATTGAAAGTGGAGTTGTAGAAATGGAAATAGAGTTCTAAAAGGAGTTCCAATTCTACAACTCCACTTTCAATTCTATAAGTGGAGTTGTAAATGCTGTTGTAGAACTGGAAAAGGAGTTGTAGATTTACAATTCTACAAATCAATTTACAATTCTACAACTCAATTTACAATTCTACAACTCCATATCCAATTCTCCAAGTGAAGTTGTAAATGTAGCTGTAGAATTGGAAATGGAGTTGTAGATTTCCAATTCTACAACTCCATTTCCAATTATACAACTTCACTCTCAAATCTACACTTCCATTTACAACTCCATTTCCAATTCTACAACTCCATTTCCAATTCTACAACTCTATTTCCAATTCTACAACTCCATTTACATTCCCACTTTCAATTCTACAACTCCATTAAGAACTCCACTTGTAGAATTGAAAGTTGAGTTGTAGAATTGGAAGTGGAGTTGTAGAATTGGAAATCTACAACTCCATTTCCAATTCTACAGCTACATTTACAACTTCACTTGGAGAATTGGATATGGAGTTGTAGAATTGTAAATTGAGTTGTAGAATTGTAAATGGAAGTATAGAATTGAGAGTGGAATTGTAGAATTGGAAATGGAGTTGTAGAATTGGAAATCTACAACTCCTTTTAGAACTCTATTTCCAATTCTACAACTCCACTTTCAATTCACATCCATTTATAACTCCATTTCCAATACTACACTTCCAATTCTACAACTCCTTTTCCAATTCTACAACTCCATTTACAGCTCCACTTGTAGAATTCCAATTCTACAACTCCATTACCAATTCTACAAGTGGAGCTGTAAATGTAGCTGTAGAATTGGAAGTGTAGTTGTAAATGGAAATGTAGAATTGAAAGTGGAGTTGTAGAACTGGAAATGGAGTTGTAAATGGACTTGTAGAATTGTAAATTGAGTTGTAGAATTGTAAATCTACAACTCCTTTTCCAATTCTACAACTCCACTTTCAATTCTACCGTTCTATTTACAACTCCACTTCCAATTCTACAAGTGGAGTTGTTAATGGAGTTGTAGAATTGAAAGTGGGAATGTAAATGGAGTTGTAGAATTGAAAATAGAGTTGTAGAATTGGAAATGGAGTTTTAAATGAACTTGTAGAATTGTAAATTGAATTTTTTACCCCGAAAACAAACAGAATTTTGGCCAGAACAAAAAAAATAATGGTCCAAATATGGAATGTCATACATCGTTGAACTCGTGATAAAATTCAATTGGTGGCATTCAACCTGAAAATTTTAATTTTTGCCATTTTTCGCAAAAAATGATGCCCTTAAATAAAATGCGAAAATTGGTCCAAAATAATTTTCCAAAAGCAAAGCTGATATTAATATTTAGGTTGTAAGCTGCACAAAACAGTGCGCCTTTTTGATTTGGGACCATTTTTGTCCTAATAAAAAAAAAAAAAACCCAAAAAAAAAAAAAACAAAATTTTACCAAAAATCGAGATTTTTTTACCCGAAAACAAAGAATTTTGGCCAGAAAAAAAAATAATGGTCAAATATGGAATTCATACATCGTTGAACCATAGAATTGGAAATGGAGTTGAAATTTTTAATTTTTGCTTTTCCAAAAAATGGATGATGGTATTTGGGATTTGCATCATGGTGTTGACGTTGCGGTGTTTGCATAAGCCATTTGCATCATGGTGGGTTTGCGTGATGGGATTTGCAATGCATGGTTGCATTGCGTAAATGCACAGTTGTAGAATTGAAATGGAGTTGTAAATGGACTTGTAGAATTGTAAATTGAGTTGTAGAATTGTAAATCTACAACTCCTTTTCCAATTCTACAACTCCATATCCAATTCTACAACTCCACTCCCATTTCACAACTCCACTTCCAATTCTACCCCATTTACAACTCCACATTTCAACTCCACTTTCAATTCTACAAGTGGAGTTGTAAATGTAGCTGTAGAATTTACAACTACACTTCCAATTCTACAGCTACATTTACAACTCCACCTGTAGAATTGGATATGGAGTTGTAAATGGAGTTGTAGAATTGTAAATTGAGTTGTAGAATTGTAAATCTATAACTCCTTTTCCAATTCTACAACAACATTTACAACTCCACTTATAGAATTGGAAGTGGAGTTGTAGAATTGGAAGTGGAGTTGTAGAATTGGAAGTGGAGTTGTAAATGGAA